CCCACCTCCACATGAAACTGGATAAACACGAGGCGGAAGAGTTGAGAAAAGAAAGAGGTGTTGAAATCAGAACACTGAAGAACAGTAATCCAGTGCTGCGCAACAGGGAATGGCCAAGCGCAGTAAAGACGATACTGATCTTCATGAACCTTATTCCCCCGGAACCAAAAGAAGAAGAACAGGAGAGAGGAGTTAAAACTCCGGCCGAGGAGAGCCCCACTAAGGAAGAGCATACGGCCAAGCGAACGAGGAATGACCCGTTTCAGCCTCCGAGTGATCCGTTAGTAACTCGGGAAAGAGAACTGTTGAGAGAAAGGGATAAACTCGACAGAGAAATCATGGAATTGAGGTCTCGTACGGCATCGGCAGTACAATCAGGATCATCGCGTACCAGCCCGGCGAGAGAAACTAAACCGAAACTGAAATATGAAAAGGTCAACTCCCGGTGGAGGAAGGTCACACCGGTCGAGAAGAAAAACCGAAAGGTCATCCTGGCGCGAGCACGCGAAGGGGCGCAGCTCGAGAAACAAAGTGTAGATCGCACACCAGAGTTTTCCGGCTTAAAAATAAAACGGAAGGAGTAGTCAGCGCATTCCTAGTCCATAGAGACACTGATCAACCAATTCCATCAATGGGGGAAGGAGCTGACCGAGCCGCATATCAGCTGATGTGCAAAGAAGCCAGCGATACAGCAGAGCAAGCGATTGGTGAACTCATTAAGTCAGAACGGAATAACCCGACCATGATAGGAAGAATCCTGAGAGACCTGTTGAGAGAAACAGCATTCAAAGAGAAGGCGAATATCATGGTCACAATTGATGCGAAGGGTAGAATGGAGAAACAACTCTATAACCCGCAAGGCGAAAAGATTGATATGCTCTCGCATGGAGCATATCCGGCGTCAGGTGCGAAGGGGCACGAGGCGGAAGAAGAAGGAGAATGGGAAGATGTAGAAGATGAAGAAAAACCGCCATACAGAGAGACGGTGTGCAGATGTCTAAAGGTCAACTATCACATGGCAGACGGAGACGAAGGTTATGTCCACGGCTTTATTATCGATCCGACAACATACATGCCGATCCCCACAGCAGGAACGAATGCGACTCCTGAAGAAGTGGAATGGCAAACACAGAAGTCGTATAGTGACCTTAATAAGATACTCAATCTCCTGCCAGAGGACCAGCGGAATGACACTGCTGCGAATATACAAGCAGTGATGAGTATCCTCAGGCACAGGGCCGAAGAAGACCGAGCCTATTTGGTAGTCTTTTGGAAAGATGACGAAGGAAAGTGGAAATCACTCTTCGACTCCAAGGGCAAAGGGCTCTATTTTCCGGAAAACTTCCAATTTAACCCGACGGCGGAAGAGCACATTAAATATTACTCTGGTGACCCGCCGGCCCAAGCCGAAGCCATGGAGACTCAAGAAGAAATCGATAGGGGATCACCATGTCGACGCATCGACTATAAATTCATGAATCAAGAAGGAAGAGAAGGGATCCTCAGAATCGAAGTGGTCGATCCTCAGACGGGACAAATGGTGTCAAACGCAGGCTTCACTCCAGAAGAGGAAGAAGAGGAAACATCAAAACTTATGCAAGAGGTGGAGCAAGTACTGCAGGTCCTGCCACAAGAGGAAGAGCGCGAAGAATTCGAAGCCATAACCGAAGTATTGGTTAACGTCATGATGCCAAGAGCACGCCAGGACGGAGCATACATGCGCTTGACCCATATTGACCCTTTCCATGGAGAAGTGTACAAGCAGCTTTACACTTCGAGAGGCGAGACACTGACCAAGCTGTCGGGGGCGAAAAAGGTCAGGAAACCGGCTGAGAAGGGTCAGCCCGAGCAAATTAAAGCAGAAGAGAAAGGTTACGAAGAGAAGAAAGAAACGAAAGGTCAAGAGACTAAGGAAAAATCGCGAGAACGGGAGATCAAGAAGGAGGAACATCCGACTCCCGTAAGAAGCGCGGAAAGGGTCAAAGCGATAATTGCCGGAGAAGTTCAACCGCACTCATGCAACGACCCTAAATGTGAAAGATGTCAGAAAGACGAAGAGAAAAAGAAAGAAGATCAGAAGAAGAAAAGGAAACCAGTAAAGGTCACGGCACGAGAAGGTAGCGCCGGTGAAACTTTTGTCAGACAGCCGAAGTTACTGGGAGTTATGAATCGGACTCTGAGCCAGAACAATTGGCTATCAACGCAAAAGCAGGGTCGTCACAAGCCGAGACCGACGAAGAGAAGGACAGAGGTCAATCACGCAAGGTGATGGAGGAAGCGATGACGATGCAGCCGATCTATGCGTCGACGATGAAAGAACGCAAGGACAAGGCTGATAAAGAGAAGAAGAAAAGGGATACTTCTGTCGAATCGGCGAAATCGGCGAAATCGGAAGTCAGCGTCGCATCGTCGAAGTCGTCAATAAAAGAGAAAGATACAAGAAAGAAAGGTCAGAGAGACACAAGAAAATCTGACCCCAGCTTGGCAGATTATATGGATGCACAGAAGAAACCAAAGGTCACTGCCAGGAACACTCTTATCGGACGAGTCGATGCAGCTGACATCGTGAACTGGAGACCTGTTGAAGGGGACAGCGAATTGGATTACACGGACGACGAATACGATGACCGATTCTTCGTCTGCGAGTCTAACGAACAAACAACAATCGAAGAAATTGACGAAATCCTCATCGGAGCAACAGCAGATTGGGGAAAGGCGACGAGATCAGTTACATCGAAATTCAGAAAGGACGTCAAGGCGTATTGCGAAGAGACGAATAAAAGACTGCCGCAGAGCAAGTACAACGCCGTCCTGGAATACGCAAGGAGCACAGGAAAAGTCCTCCAGAAACATCCGAAATATGGTTCCAAAGCGAAGCTGTACATCACCGGGAACAATAATGAGCGGAAGTTGGCTACAGCAAACGCAGATATCCGAGAACGGATTGAACGCGCCATTATCGGGATGTGCAGTCCGATGGGCACGACGAAACACCGTATGGCGCAGTTCATTAATGGAGTCTGGAGCAAAGAGAAAGGAAATGCTTCAATCATCGAAAGGTCACGGAAAAGCGTTAACACAGATGGTAGCGGAAAACAAGCTGCACACCACAAACCCTCACAAAGGCGTGACTATCAGATACAGTTCACTGAATGCTGTACCAGAAGAGCTGAGACAATACAAGAAGGAAGAGATGAGCGAAGATACGACCATTATATTGGATCCCAGACTCGATGCGGAATGCCCCATCTTGAGTCAGATCAAATTGACAGTGAAAAGCGACAACTTCATCGAAAGAGAAAGAAGAGCAAATAGAGGAATCAATGGTCGTTGAAGAAAATGTCGTTGAAGAAAAGAGGCAGAAACGGTAGAGAAGGGGTGAACTGCATGCGCCGAAATCGGCTGAAGAGCTATTGCGTTGGTGGGACCACCGAAACCGATGTCGGTACAGGAAGCACTTGCCGCCGTACGTAAGTGGATCCAGTTCAGCAGTGGATACCCAAAAGATCCACCGATCGACAACAGCACTGACATCTTAAAGGCAGCACACGAACAAGCGACGCAAGGAAAAAACGACGTTAAAGGTCATGCTGCGGAAGAAACAGCTAAAGGTCATCAGACTTCAGCGCAAAGTGGAGTCGAGGAGAAAGGTCATCCGAGCTCAAGTCATGGAAAGATGGGGCAGCCTACTGATCGCAACCGCCGGTAGAAGCTACAGCAAGTGCAGTCCCCATCGCAGAAAGAGGAGACGGACGACGAGCTAAACGAGAGTAACGTCCCGTGGATGACAATTTACGCTGCGATCGGTGCAGCCCCGTCGAGAGAAATGGATAAGACGGATATTTCAAAAGCAGTCGGCGACGCCGGAGTCAGCAGGACACAAGTCAACAAGCTCATAAAAAAGAGCGTATAAAGAAGGACGAACACGAATCAACCGAACTATTACATTCCTCCGGCGGAAGAACAACGAAAGCAGAGACCGAAACCAGGTCCCCAGGCTTGGAAGGACGCTTTGACTCAAGATGCCATGCAGAACATAGGCGGGACTAACGGGTTCACCGCAGAAGACCTCTCCAATTACATGGCAGTTCAGTATGATTCCGGCCAAGAAAATATGAACGGGGATCGGTTCAAGATCCAGAACGCGTTGGACAGTTTGGTCAAAGACGGAACCATCAGAACATGGAAGAAGGATGGAGTCGACCAATACGACTGGATCGCGAAAGCGTAAACGGAAGAACATGTGTGGGAGGAAGGTCCACCACACAAAAAGAAGAATCAGAATCAGAAAAGAGAAAGAAATGAGCAGACCGTAGTTCTCAAATTACTTTCGAACCACACTCTGCAAAAAGAGTTGAATTAGCGAAGGGGCTATTTTACTTAGCGAATGGGCTAAGATGAGAAAGGTCACCATACAGTTGAGAATGGTTCAGTTAAAGAAGGATGACAAAGGTCACCATGAAACAGCGAGAAAGTCTCAGCTCAGCACTGCATAGCCTAGTTACCATAGGCGTAAAAATAGGCGTTGAGAAGGGTAACGTAAAGGTCATAGCATTATAATGTTTGAGATTGCAGGCTGAGACATCAAAATGACTGAACGGAGCCAATCCAACCAGAACGCGGCGAAAAAAGGGACAGCGACCAGCTGTAAAAAAGGTCACGGGAGACCCTTTGACGAATTACAACGAGGACTGCCCGGACTGTAAACGAAACAACATCCTATCGAACGAACGTTTCCCATGCTGGACTTGCGTGGTGGCAGTACCGAACCAAGCAGTGGTGGTACCAGAAGAGGCGAGAAGGGGGGTAACCTCGATGTGTTCCGGCATTTGGTTACGGGAGACACATGGATGAAACTGTCACCAGAAGACCGGATGATTTTGGAAGATAAGTACAGAATGTGGGTCGGACGTAGACCGGGTTGGGATATCACCCTTGAACCTCCGAAAACACCAGAAGCGGATGCGTTCAGAAAGAAGTTTGAAGAAGACACGATGAGAATGGTACAGGAAAAGCGCGAGGCAGAGCGAAAGCGGCTAGAAGAAAAGGAAAAAGCTGCGGCAGAGAAGGGTTTAGCCGAAGCAGCTAAAGGTCACGCACCTACCCCATTCGCGATATTGAAGAAACAAGATGAAGGAGAAGCAGCTGTAATCAGACAGTCGCTGATACAGCAGATTGACATCATCTTGCAAGATCCTCTCGCGGTATCGAAAGAGGAATACAAAATCTTCCTGGATGAAAAGGTCAACCTGACGAAAGGAAATAGACCGTCCCAGGTTATCAAAATTGCGATCGAAGAACGAATCGACAGGATGAGAAATTTCCGAAAACGGGAGAAAGATGTGGTTGAGGCCCTTCGGAACTTCAAGAAAGAGGAGTTCAAACGCCCAAAATCACCTCAAAGAGATGATCGCAACCGCGGCTATGAAAGGTCGTCAGACCGCTCCCGAGAAAGGTCATGGGACAGACATCATAACGACCGATACAGTGGATACGCGAGAGATACGCGTACGTCGGAGCAAAAGAGAAGGGATGAAGAACGTATCCGACGTGAAAAAGAACAAAGAGAAAAGCGCCGCCAAGAAGAAGCGGAAGAAAAGCGCTTGGCGGAGGAATACAGGAAAATCAACGAAACCTGTAATAGGCAGCAGGAGAAGGAACGGGCTGCTAAGGAAACGCAAAATCGCGATTTACAGAATCGAGAAGGAAGAAGTGAAGGCTCGAGTAAATCAACATCCTCAAAGGGGCCATATGATCAAGAGTGGGTCCAGGATAACCTGAACATGGCTGATTATGAGTTTGGAGACAAATCCTACAACAGCAAAAGGTCATCCAGCTCAGAAAGCCACCGCACGCCTAAGAGCCCGCGCAGAATGCAGTCAGTAGTCCATTCTGTTTGTTCAACGTTCAAGTCAGCCGAGAAACAACCGGAAAAGCAATTGGACGAGGTCATGGAATGCAGCCCGTCATCCTCGAATGTCATTGAAGTTCACGGAGACGAGGATATGCGACCGTCAAGACGAAACATCATCTTCGATCTTGAGCATCAGCTTACAAGCGCGGAGATGGCGAGTAATGCACCGCCAGAATCAGATTCAGAGAAGGGCGACCAGAAAGGTCAATCAAAGGTCACCGCTCCGAGGAGACATTCCTCCAAACCATCGAGCTGGTATATGAAATGAACGACATCATGGAGCAAACGAACGAGATCTGCCGTTCGGTGGGCATCGCGCCAGATAATAAGGATGAATTCGACAAAGTTTATTGGCTTCTCATGAACTTGCGCCAGGTCATCAACGACTCGGGATACGCGAAAGAGTACGAGTATGGCCAATGGGAAGACCTGATCATTACGCAAGAATCGGCGAATCTTCATTACTTCCCGACGAGAGAATGCGGCCTTGTCAGTTTGATCGACCTGAGTCTCTTGGAAACACCGTTGGACACACCGGATCCAACAGGAATGACACAGTTCCAGTATAGAGACATCAAGGAAAGACGTCTGCACGTGGCACAATTTGTGTTACGCCATGTAAATCCGGCGTTGAGACTCCTCGCAGGAAGGGCTGCGTTAGGATTGTTGGTCAAACCAGATTCTCCGCCTGATCACCGCGCCACGATTCAGAAGATTTTGCAGCAAGGCTCGGCCATTATGAATCGCATCACCAGCTGCGAAAGAGCGCTCAAAGAGGTATAGAGATACCGCCAGCACTGACCGCGCAAGTTATAAAGCTGGGAATGCCTGTTAAGAACTTTAACTCCTCGGAAACGGCCAAGAGGCAGCTGAAGGACGTCCAGAGAGCAATGAATTTCGACGAAAGTCTGAGACGTCAAGCGAAAATGCATGCCCACCGATGTGCGGAAAGAATCAGAATCACGATGGGTACGAGATTCATCCAGCCATCCGACTTCGTCTATGATTTCATCCAAGAAATCAGTGTAAATAGAAGCAGCTACCGTCCAGAGCTTGCGAGACAGCCGCAGGAAAATGAAATGAAACGAAGAGGACGAAGAAACCAACAGCTGCATTTGGACTATGTCGAATTGTGCAAAAGGTCACGGGATAATCCATACGATGAAGGATTAAAAGCGCGAATGGTCGACGCTCGAGATCATCTGATCCGTATTCAGCGCAGACGTGACCGAAATCGGCACAGTGGTGCTAGCAGCCGGAGCGAAGGAGACGAGCTGCCTGAGAGGGAAAAGGAACCTCGGGATCGAACGTCTGATCAGAACGAAAAACAAAGACGTTTCGATCGGAACCGCGACAATGGTTCAAATGATCAGTGATGACCTTTAGGGCATCGCTGATGTGCTAGTTACGGCCACCAGTCGGCAGCACGAGAATGGTAGTGAAGGTATAGTATTAGGGCGAAGGAGACGTAACTTTTTGAACTGTCATACCGTTCGTGTTTTGTTGTTTTCAGAATTTTGTTGCAGGGGATCAAGGTGATCTGCAGTATGGGGAGTTACGGAGGTCATCCGGCCCTCGAAGCAGGAAGAGTAACGGCGTTAACCGGCCTTCCTCATTACATTTAAACGTCACTTCTAGAGTGTAGTTGCGGCCTACTTAGTCGGCACACTCTTAAGGAATGTCAGAAGCCACAAGGGTGAAAAGAGAAAGAGTTCAAGAAAATAGGGTAAAACTTTCAGATGTTGAGGTTACGGCGATAACCGGCCTCAGAAGAAGAGGAGTTACGGCGTTAACCGGCCCTCGAACCTGGTGAGGAAAAGAAGGAAAGTGCGCGTCAATTAGCGCTAAAAGAAAGGAAAGGATGTGCGACAGAAGAAAATGGTTGAAAAGATGGATGACCTTTATCAGGGAGGCAAGCAGAATTGCTTGAAAGCCAAAAATCGGCTAAGTCCCTCCATGACCTTTAATATGGAACTTATGACAGAAATGGATGACCTTTTGGGTTCGTCACCTCCCAATTGAGTCGCACATCAGACGAGAAAGGATGACCTTTGAGAACTTCACTGCTCAAGAGAGTCATCAAGAAAAAGAGAATGACCTTACCAGGGAGGAAGCATTAAGCTTGTCTTTCAAGACGTCCCTCCATGTCCAAGAGGAAGAATCTCATTTTGACAGAAGTCGTACTTTGATACGCAACTAATCCAAAGATGAAGCATCAGTATTCCAAAGTCGTACTTTGATACGCAACTAATCCAAAGATGAAGCATCAGTATTCAAAAGTCGTACTTGATACGCACCTATTCCTACAAGCGGATCTCATTTGTGATTAAAAAGATTGCTCAAAAGAGCGGAATGGATCAAAGCGGATTACGGTTGACAGGACCCAGTGACCTTTACGAGTCGGAGGATCCTAGTCGTTTTGATTATGAATTCTGTTGATATTTTGTACTGTTTTACTTTTGTTTCGAGATCTCTTTATTCACACATGTAATTGGAATTTGTGATGTTAAAAGGAGATAAAATCTCGATGTTTTATTATGCGCACAGACGAGCCGTCAAGGATCCCAAGGAATTGGACGTGGATTATGCTTCGACGGAGCTCAGCCTCCCTCCCAGAGGCATGTGAGCGCAGGCGTACATGCGTACACCCTCGCTTTGGCAGTCTGTTGTGTTTTGTTGCACGCCCGCCTACGCGTGGCGAAAGCATAGTGTTCTGCGCGCACCCGCATCATGTGGCGGCTACGTGCGCACTTTTCACGCTTGCTGCAGTCAGCAATGCGGAGTTGTCCACGAGGAAATTCTATCGAATTTAGTCTGGTTATAAATTTCTAGCAATCACGCCGTTTCTCGCTTTCTGTAGCGTAGGCGTATTTATAGCATTGCTAGTCTTTTTGGTAGGCAGAATTCCGTCAATTCTGTTCCTACGCGTGAACCTTCATCAGGTCCACGCTCATAAGGTGAATGCTATAAAGAGGATCCCCCTGTGCTATAGGTCACATTCAAGTCACAGGGCACTGGGCGGTCACATTCAACTTTTAAGAGCAGCACCTGGACCTTGCTCAGATTGTTACAAAGAATCACGAAATTTTGTGATTGTTTGCTAGTCTGATTGAACGAATGTATGACGAGCGGCATTGTGCGTGCAGCCAATCACTCACTCCTGCAAACAATCTGCAACCGCCCACAATCCTGCAATTCGCAAAAGAATCGACGACTGTAACGGACTATTACCGTGTGGTGATTAAAACGATTGTATAACATTTCACAGCCGGACATTTCATGACGTGGCATTTCAAGGCGTAACACTTCACAACCCGTGCTTTCGTAACCGCAAGATTTCATGGCCACAACATTTCAAAATCACCGGAACGCTTCGAAGCTGAAACTTGTATTCCAAAATTAAGAAACTTAATACTTGTACATAAGAACGCATAAATAAAATTAGTTTTTGAATTCTGCTAGAAAACACTGAAACAGTAGAGAAATCCGCAATTCCGGAATGACGTAGCATATCTTTCAGTGACATTCCAGGAAGTAGTAAATCGATGAATAAATAATCAAGATAGCCACGTATGCCACCCCGATTATTAAAGTCCAGCATTTCCCCTTTCCCCAGATTCTTCTTTCTATATCCGTATAATCGTCGCTGACGTACTGGTTCCACACACATTTAGCCAGAACTGCATACAAAATCTGATTAAAAAAGGCATCAGTATTTTACCTAAAATAGTTACCCATAACTTATGGGTACCAAAAAGTAAGGGGAAGACTCCCCAGTAGAGACCAAGCAGGTTCCAAAAGAGCAAGTCGCCATGGCAGTGCTTGGACTGTGACACTGAATTTGAGTTGTGTTTTGGAGCATCTTCGCCATCGCCGGTAAGACGGCCACTTTTTTTGGCAGTCCAGGCTCCAGAGCCCTGGAAAGAATTCATTTTAAAACAGCCAACCAACCCATGTTCACATCATATTTTTGAAATTCTGAGATGGACATCAAAAATTTTGAAATCTACTTCAAATTGAAAGAAATTAGCCGGAAACGTTTCCGACCGATAACTTGTCGCGATCGTACAACTGCTACAAAAACTATGTACTCTAAATTTAGCCGGCAACGGCGTCCCCATCTTATTCAAATTCCAACTCCAACAGCACATGTTATTAGTTTTGTGATAGATACAGAAACCGACAGTTATGCATAGTGGTAGTAACACTCGATGTAAAGATAACTTCAGCGCTTGTTAGTTTGCTCGCTTGTTGTCTAATCTAGGCATTTGCTTGTTGTCGACTCTAGATATTTGCTGTTGGCCTGTTGCAAACGTAATGTTATTCTGAATTTAGGCAGATTATTTCATTAGTTTTCAGTTTTTGGCGCAACCGGATGAGCCAACTGCAACACCGTCAACGGTGAAGCTCAACATTTGAAGCTGCCGTATATCCTTTTCTTCACCACTGGCAGTTCTGTTTTTGTGAAAACGAGTAAAGAATGTTTGCGTTCTGCAAACAAAGATAATTTACAGTAAATATATTGGACTGTATTAATGTTCTTCAAGAGAAATCCAGCACGATACGACGCGCGTTACCAGAATCGGGTAGTTTGCTGTGCGCCCAATATCCGTCCCTATCGCCAATGTACTTCGCGCCCGGTTACCGGGCGCACAGCCAACTGCATCGCACTCAGATTATCAAAAAAAAGGAAAAATGTTAAAAAAACCAAAAAGTTTTAAGAGGTCAATCAATACCTTAGCATGACTTTCTGCAAAATCTGGAAGTGCCGCACAATTATTTTTATGCACATCTTATTTTTGAAATGCTTAATCGGGGCTTGAGGATGCACCGTGCCTCTCGATTAATCAAATGTGAAGAAACTCTTTACCACGGCATGGTAGAGTGTTCAATGAAGTTTGTAATAATATTCGTAATTATTATAATGGTGTACCTGACCTGTTTAATAAATAATAATAAATAAAAGTAATATCACCGGTCAAGTTTAAAAGGTTTCAGTAATGCGCCAGAAGTATTGATTTACTATCTATCAGCCAATTGCATCATTTTAGTTAGTTAAAAAATAAATAGCTACATGGCGCCGCGGCAGGCATGCCAACCCACGGTGCATGCAGTGACGCGATGCATTGCGGCAACAGCAACCTGAATGAAATACAGGTCAGCGATCGATGTAACAGTGAAAAGCTAAAATAGGTTTGATAAGGCTTGAGCCACTTCCGATGTAGACTGCACTATACTCTGTAGTTTTTAATAATTTGTGTTTGTCACCTCGACGTACCTTAGGAATGGAATACAATCCAGAAACAGTTTGTTCTTAAAAATGTCGGTGCATTTTGATTCCTCTGCTGGAGTTTCGTCTTCTAGCAGCCCCACTCCAAGTATGGAAATTAAAGCCACCACTAGCAGACAAAGCGACACCGGCTTTCTAAAGGGACATATGTGGCAGTTAACAGTCATTAGCAGCTTAGCACTATTTCCGAATACAGGGCGTGGAGTAGGCAGCGCACAGAATGACAGCGAACAGATAGCGGCCAACAGATTTTCAATTAAATCATTCCTTGATCACGGAGATCGTTGCTTGAAGAAGGTTGTATGTAACGTATAAAATCTGTCACGTTACGTAAAAGGTCCATCAGCTTACTAATACAATATTCAGGCAGTGTTTCAGTACCCATGTGGAAAATACAATGGACTTCATATACCGGCAGGAAGGTGGCTGCGAGTTCATTGGACAGGCATCATCCACCCCCCCATGCTCCTACCGGCTACAAGCTCTATTACGCAACTCGATAATCTTAACGCTTCCATTGATAAAATTTAATACCGTAATTACTGAATTACGGCAGAGCCCTGGGTCATAAATATTTACTACAGCGCCTTATGGAGGGGCTCCAGTTACTGGCCGGAACTCATATTGCGGGGGGTGCTTCTACGTCTTTCTCGAACTAGCATCTTGGCATGGCCTAATAAATCTGAGGCACATAAAAATCGTAGCTGAGCACTTTCATCGGGAAAAATGCTCGAAAATACAACAACCGTAGTACGACTGCTGGAATTCGTTTTGCCAGATTCTACACGGGTACAGGCATCGAAATTTAAAGTGTGCTTTAAATACTGTTAATAATCTTTATAACAGCTTATTGCATTTTAAGGTAGATGCGAGTTCACTGAACCTGCATCATCCATCCACCCACCTTCCTGCCGGTTACACACTCTATTACGCAACCGATTGTGTTCTTGTGTTCACACTAAACACACTTACACTAATCGACTGGTAAACCGTAATTATTGAATTACGGCATAAGCCCTGGGTCATACAATATTAATTTATAACGTACGTCTCATGGAGCGGGGGCTCCAGTTACCGGCAGGGGCTCGAAAGTAGCTTCGAGGCAACTATTTTCCTGGGAACTGGTTTCCGATTTACTATATTTCGGATTTCTAGGATTGGTTGTTACAGCTTTCGTAAACTTCGTATAAAACTTTCAAAATAAATAAATAAAAATATTGTAGACTTCAATGGTAAGAATGAGCAATTTTGTAACTTGCCCAACTTGCGCGGCAAGCATTTCTGTATATTATGCATTAACCAAGCCGTTTACGATACAAGTCGGTTAACGCAACCGCAAAGTGCGGCTGTGTGTTAAATTATATAATAATTGTTATAGTTATAGTACTGTGCAACCTGTGTGCTACGATAATTAAAAGATTTACCGTACAAGCATCAAATATTTAATTTTTAGCTGTAATGTACTCGTAATCTTTTAATAATTCAAAGGACAGAAATCGAATTTAGGTTTTGTTTAATTCTGACAATTGCTTGCCTGTTGTCACGAGGGTTTTCACATTTTTTTATAAAAACACTTTTTCGTTTTTTCAAATCCCTTATACACAAAAGGGGGTGTGGCCTTCGTGTTTCCGCTATTTTTTATAGCAACTATACTATACCAATCTTTAACATCTCTTCTACTCGTATATATCATTGGATTTCATCTATGTAGATGGGAAAATGCGAAAAAAGTTTCCGAATCACATTGTTTTAAATTTTTTACATACACTAAATGAGGGATATCTCATGATCAATAAATTTATTTAGCATAGGGCACTCCGGCACTGATACTTCAGCTTTCGAACATTAAGCAAAGGATGTGTGCTGTTCGAGTACTGTAATATTAAACAGGTACCCAAGTTACCCGTCTGCGAATACGTCCGCGAATACCAGCCCGTAATGAAGCTGAGACTTGACATACAATACTCATGTTTACGGAGTAAAATTTAATCTTTCGCAGTAATTACAGTATTAATTTTAGACTGGAGGCATTCAGCCGTCTTTTTGGTCGAATCAAGAATTTTTTAACGTGACTACCACGAGTACACTGTAAATTGTTCGCCTCATCTAAAATCAGTCCGTACTTCCCGTACCGGAAGCGGATGCTCGCGGTCAGGCTGGCGGCGATGGTGCTGACCACCAGCTGGACCACGCCCACGGCGATGAAGAAATCGGTGAGGGGCTGGTACAGGCAGATGTCGGCGTGGCGCATGATGAATTGTGGGGTGTATAAGTATAAGAAGGGACGTTGGCCCAGCCGCAGGAGGTGGATGATGTTGAGGGCAAAGAGGGCACCGGCGCCCAGGGCGCTGAGAACAAATGAGGACGATGTAGGCGGTGGGGAGTGCGGGGCGCCAGTGGTTCTGCTTGCTGTCCTGACTGAGAGCGGGGAGGTGGAGGAAGTGCGATTTGCGCAGCCGGAGCCCGGTGACCCCCGTGGCCAGGAAGAGCAGGCCCACCCAGACGCTGAAGGACAGCAGGAAGTGGCGCATTTCCGCTGGAAATGCAGCAGAATGATGCCGGTAAGTATGTTGAAAGAAGGTATTAGTATACCGGCACGTTTGCAACTCTGATCTTCGTTATTCAAGAATGTACCCTGATCCCGTTTTTAAGCTCCTTAACTTTGAAGAATTACCCAACTTTCGCACGGCGTTTTCTTTCCAGAATAAACTGTACATTTGCCGCTTGAAGGTTATAAGATCTCAAAAGTGTATGTAGTGTTGCCGTTTTGACTTTTCGTGAGTTTTCGTATCGTTTTCGTGCGACCTCCAGATGAAACGGACTTCTTGTATAATTATTAAAAAATGGTTTTCGTATTTGCGCCGCTTTTTCCAAAACCAAAATTTTACGAGAAGTCCGACCGTTGGGTCGTGAGATAAGATAAGTAACGAAAAGTCAAAACCGCAACACTACAAAAGTGGTACTGAATGGAAACGGACCTTACCGGGCGACTTGTCAGATAGTTATGTGTTTATTCATTCTGCTAAAAAAAGTCGTAAGAAAAATCCGTTCGCCTTCGCAGTTCGCACATGCTAGTTTATAGACAAGTTATAATACGAGTATTTCAGCCCTTTTTTAAAATCTGGGGCGAATACCGTATACTGTATGTAGTTTTAATTTTCTACCAGCGTAGGATGATTGCAATGCTCACCGTCAACACTGGCTGCAAAAAAAACTGGAGACATGGAAATAATATTAATGTTATATGACAATATAGCGTTTCCCTCAACATATTAATATGTAATTTGTAATAATAATAATAATGGAGTTTATTGTCCTTGCACGGAGCAGGCACGAGTACATTAAAGGCAACAGCGAACGTTAGTAGTTAGTACTTCTAAAATCGGTGTCAGTTGGCAAATATAAATTTCTTTGCTTTTTAACTACGGCGTTTATTAGGGAAAAATTTTGCAGACTTCAACCTACCCACCGGCGATAGCGCTATACAAGTGGGTGGGTATGCGTTAACACCATATTTTGAAGTTTATTATATGTTTCTGTTGCAGCGTTTGGAGTACACGTTATTGGGAGTGAACGCATGACTGGAAAGGGGCTCAAAAAGGGATCGATAACCCAATTACCTATATACATTCAAGCCTGTTGACAAATTGAGTATTCGCAATTACAGCGAACATCACAAATTGAAGGGTTACTCTTAAATCCATACTACGGCGTTACGCCGCATTGCTTAAATACGTAACATGCATTTGGCTGGCTAGTGACATGGCGTACGCCAGATATGTGAATGGGAATAATTGTAATTGCTTGGCGGAAGGAGGGTCTTAAAAACGGTCGGTGCAGTAAGGGAAAATCTAACTGCGTAGCGCAGTTAGGCATTGCGATAAGCGCAGTACAGTGGCCACCAATCAAGCGCCAACTTCACGTTAAAATCGATGTATCTGTACCTTTACATACTAATTTGTCGACAGGCTTGTACAATACATATTAAGGTTGTGCTCGGTTCACTGGCGCATATATTATGCCTGATTAAATCAATCCGGGCTGCTGTCACCGGAAGTCGGCGCCCGGATGTGTGGATATACCGATATAGTGATCTGAAAACGAGATAGGTAATTCTGCTGTCAGCCCCGGCGCGCAAACCTCACGAGCGCTTCAACGAATTATATAATAGGGTTATTGCCTCCGATGCAATAACCCTTTATGTTTATCGATTGGATGCGTTTGTATATCGATTGACTGCGATTGCCTTGCTTTCCAACTGCGAAACGTCTGGATGTGAAGTTAAGGTCACACCGCGTAAATTTAACCGAACCGGCGATCTGTGAGAAAAAGCTTCTTGCAAACAATTTGCAGCGATACGTTCATTTTCTGATAATATAACTATTACGGCAAATTGAAATTTCAAAGTGATTGAGCGCTTTGTTGTGCCCAAACAGCCAGTTAAATCCTGTCATCCTAAAACTTTGCGGAAACGCGCAGATGCAGTAATTACGAGGATGATTTTAAAATTAAAGTCTTTGTCAAAAATATTTCACACAAATTCCAAAGTAGATTTTAAAATTCTGAAATTTATTTTAAATTCGGAAAAAATGTCGTAAGTCTCATTTCGGTTCAGATTCGACTTTGTAGCTATATGGCTTAATTCCAGTCAATAGCAGCTTCAAGAAGGTCAAATAAGGTTACTACCGTGACCTAATTTTTGGTGTCCGACTGTGCTTTGGGAATATTTTCAATCGCCGTTTTATGACAATTGGATGTTACGCACACATGCGCACAAAGCACTCTGGTATAAGCCATAAAGCTAAAAAATGCCTGAGAACGCGCGAAAGCGAAATTCTCCATGGATGTATACGAAACGAATTATTTTCCTTAAGAGTTATTAGCGCAACTGCAAAAAAAAATTCGATTGAATAACAGAAAAATAATAATGAAAATATATTTAAAATACAAACAATGAATTTTGGAAAATATCAAATGGAGTTAAAAAACCATTACGCAAAAGAAATGTGAAGTAGTAACCCAGTTAACTGTAATAATAAAAAAAGAGAATACATGCGCCGCAGATGGACTAATAAAATATGTGTTTAAACAAATGCATAAGAATGATTGCGAGTACAATATGTGTACGCAAACTGCGCAGGGATTACAGTGAAACTGCAATGTGTTAAGTGCAGCCACAATTCCCTTCAGAAAAAGCCATATGGATGAGAGCGCGCTTATAACCGGCAGGAAAGTGGATGTGGCTTCATTGAACATCCTCGATCCACTCATTCGCCTTCCTGTCGCACACACTATCACGCAACCCGATGGTCACGAGGCTTCCGCTGATCGATTGGTATACCGTAATTATCAAATTACGGTAAAACCTCGGGGTCATAAGTACCGGCATTTAGAACGTCGTATGGAAAGGGCTCTAGTTACTGGCATGGGTTTATATTACGGGTAACCTTGCTACAGATTTTTTGAACCGGCATTCTTGGAAATGGGCTAATGAATCGGAAACAGGCAAATATCGCGTAGCTGAGCGCTCTTACCGGCAAAAGTGTTTGAAAATACAGCAGTTGTAGCGCGGTTGTTGCAATTTTTTGTCATATTGTACTCCTGTCTGTACAGGAGTACAGGAATTTTTGTCATATTTGTACTACTGTTTGTACTGTACTGTCTGTTGACTTGGTTACCGGAACAGGAAAGTGATCAAATGTTGCTTAAATGAAAAGAAAACGTGACCAATTGTTCATTACTGTCGAAGTACTTATCTTAAAAATGGAGATTGTTCTAGCAAAAGTTTAGCCTTTGCTCCGTCTGGTCTTCAAAGTACCCAACCGGACAACCGCTGGACACCGAAAGCCGTTCAACACCTGAATTCCGGTGCCAAACGGCTTTCCAGTTGGGCATACAATTTTTTAAGCATTTCGCCTCCTAGTTCTTCCTGTTCCCAATCTTATGAACACGATTTAATCGATCCAGGTGGCTGCTGTCACCGTAAACCGGAGCTCAGATTTGTGGATGTACTGTATTAATCTGAAAATGAGATGGCTTATAAGGGTTAGGTTCGACTTTGTAGTCATGTGGCTTTCACAGTTTACTACGTGGTTCAAAGAGGATTTATACCGTGACTTAATTAAATTTTGTGATGCCCGACAATGCTTTGGATGCATTTTCAACCGCCGTGATTCAGCAACCGCAGGTTACACATCTGTATAACACGTTTTGGGATACAGTGAAACTCCTCTTAACAATCACCTTCCTATATCATTCACCACTTTACTGCATGCATGAGGCTGAGAACCAAACTGTCCGGTATACTATAACACAGGGGCAGTTCTCTGTATAACATTCACCCCCTTTCGGCTTACAGCTATAACATACACCTTTTATGGAACCGGTAACAGTTTTACCGGCTTACTTATTCAACCCCTGCGTAACATACGGTTGGCTAGGCTGGTGAAAAACCATTTCGGTGTCTCTAAAAGAAAGTTCCGGCTTCTGTTTTTAATGTGTTTAGTACCGGATCTTCCAACTCCATGCATACAAAAGGGCAGCAAAACCAACATTTATACCGAATAATGTCCATACCCCGATATTTTGTTAATGTTTTGGTTGAGTAACACCCTCCGGCCGCTCTGCCCCTAAGCCCTTGAGGGCAGTGCCCCTGGGGGCAGTGCTTCTATATAACATACACCCCTCTGTAACATTCAGAAAGCCTGGAACGGAGGGTGTATGTTGTAGAGAAGTTTCACTGTATTATACAAGTATATAACATAAAGCTAACAAATGTCTGAGAACGCGCGAAAGCGAAATTCTCCATGGATACATACGAAATGAACCGTTTTCATTACGAGTTATAGCGCAACCGTAAAAAGTCCGAATGAATAACAGAAAAATAACAATAAAAACAATATACAACCAACGAAAATTTTAGGAAAATATAAAATGGAGTTAAAAAACCATTACATAAAGATAATTATGTGAAATAGTAATCAACGTAATTACAATAAAAAAAAATACCGTAGATGCGCCACAAATGGAATAATAAAATACTGTACATGCAAGGAAATACTGTACATGCGCCGCAAATGGAATAATAAAATGTGTGTTCACAATCAAATGCATAACAATTACTATAGTATGTGTATGCAAACTCCGCAGCGATTCTAGAAATACGATAAAACCGGAATTAAACGCGCTGGGTCTGGGTTTTCGAGACCCTCGTCAAAAAGTTTGTTATAAACTGTATCAACATACCTCAAATGTTAAGCCGTTTATCATAAAATGTGCCGACGGCATGATTTTGGCAGCAGATCTTATGTAATAATTTATATCAATATGAAAACGTATCGAAGTTACAAAACTTATTCGAAACTCGTATCCGCGTCTTCGCAACAGTTTAACCAAAACGTTAAACAGAAGCAAACGTAATACAAGAAGAACAAAAGCTTTGTCGGTCGACCGACACGTAAACAATATCTCGCTCAGCAAGAAACAATTCCAGAAAAGTAAAAAAATAAACCAGCCAAATTCCAAAATCCACCACTATGAATCAATTCGTAGTGCCCCCTGTTAATTGCCAACAGTCCCGACGCCGTCGCGGTTCTGATTTATTGCGAATAACAATGTAAGATATTGCATCTAAAGCGAAAGCTTTGTCGGCCGGCCGACATTGATCGCCTCGCCACGTAATCTAAAAAGCGATTTTGATCCACGTGTCGCCGTTATAGAGCATCAAAGCTTTTCTGCAGAACCTTGTTATCAAAGGCATAGTTTCTGTGCAGGCACATGATCGGTCGACCGACAATAATTATCCTCAAAAGCAAAGTCGCGAAAACGAAAAGGAAAAAATCGCAAAAAGGAAACAAAAGTTTTCGAAACAAAACAAACTGCTCCAATTTACTTAGTTGGAGGCAAAACATCAACGACAAAATTTTGAGTAATACCTGACGCTGCCCGCGCGGTGGCTGCATTACCTTTGCTGCCGACTACGCTCACTATAGGCTACTTTCATGCTGCTTCTGATTAGCTGTATAGCAGTTCAGTGCTCACCGCAAGTCCACGTTCAGCGCCGTTGCGCCCAAGCTGATTTTGACAGCCAGTTTTGGTAACGGCAATTCTCGACTTTTTTATAACTGTGCTTTTGAAATGGTTTCTGCTATTTTTTTGAATCTTTAAAGTTTTTTTGTTTTATGGCTCTCGATAGCCAAATTTTATTTAAAACATTTAAAAAAACACTGCTAGTGTTGATATTTATGCGTGGCACTGTCACGCACGGCATGCTTTTGAGAAAAAGTGCAACATTCGACGCAGTCTGCAGTGATGCGAGGACCCACAGCAATTTTGGACCAGTACGAAGGTAAGAGCTTATCGAACAGTTTACAGTTTAAACGTCATAAAGATAGCACTTGTTGAATTATTGTGTGCGTTTTTATTTCTAGATCCTTAGGAGGCGCTGTTCGATGGACAAATGTGCATGAAGACATGCAGTAAAGCAAAAGGTAATCCGATTGTGTAGTAGAGCGCTATTTTTAGCTACAAAACGATAAAACGAATTTCTACTTAAGGGGAATTTTAGTACTTTTTGTTACCTTAAACTTAAGAAGCGAGCAGAAACTACATTTTTCTCTAAAGAAGTTTTCTTCAAGTATTTTAAAATGCATCACGGACAAGTTCAACGTATTAAAATTTGAGTTGATTTAAGTCTATTTTATCGCTTATTAGCATGTCGACATGCCTTATTCAAAAGTTGCAGTCAGTGCGTAATTGGTGGTGCGTATATGAAGTGTCCATAACTTGTTTTTGCCATTTTTCTGATTTTTTTTTAAATAGTAAATTTTTAAAAAATAATAAATAATGAATTTAATGCGTTTTGCTGCACTGTGTTGACCATTGCAGTTGGCTCATACAAACAATATAGAATGTTTATGTCAGAGTGTCGATTTTTCCATTCGCCTTATTTTATTGGCCAAATGCTCCGTTGACAAAAGCAATAATTCCTAATTTAAGATTTTTTGTTTGACAACTGCATGTGGACATGCACAACAATTTTATTGCTAGTGTATTAAAAGTCCTAACACACAGCGCTTTTCTATAACGGATGACCGTTCTTGAATGCAGTAAATCTGAATGCAGCGTCTGTTGCGTTCAAGTAAAACTTGAGTGCAATTGTTGTGCATCTGAAAATATCATGTTGTAAGTAAGTTTACCATGCTGATGGTTCAAAATTTAAATGTTTTGCAGGGGAGATGAAGTATTGCTCTCCAGGCCCTTTGCCAGACGCGAAATTAACCGGGAAGTGCGTGGATGTCGATATCCATGATTGTCCTTGCCATCGTGGCGATAATTAATTTCTTATGCATTTAGTAGTCGCTAATGCTATCCATGCTGGCTCTTTTGCAGTTTCTATTGCTCTTGTCAGTTTTCCGTTTATGCTTCTGGCGCATTATCCAAATCGATTTTTTTACTTAATTATGTTGGTGTTTTCATGAGAAAGTATGTCTCGGATGTTGGTTTTTTTGTGCAAAACTAGTTATGTGGTATATTGCAAAATAAATACAAAATGATCTCTGATATCCATATCTAAATGTTTCATATTCGTAAGTATTATAAAACAAAGAGATGGTCTGTTATATCTAAGCTTAATTCAAAAGTTGTTATTAAACTATATGATATTTCTGACGAGGGAGAGCTTCGGAAGGGGCGTTTATTAAGGGGGGCGTCTAATATTCCAAATGGATAACGCGCCCTGAAACTTCAGCTTTAACGACAATAATATTATAAATATCGAAGCATTGGTGTGTGTACTCACTGTACTGTGTAGTATGTGCCTTGATAATCAATACGATGATTGGGTTAATGTCCATCCTTCATACGTGGTAGTTTGCTAACATTGCAGCACAAAGGACTAACAAAGCGGACGCGCCAAAATTTATTAGGCGCCCGGGGGCCGGGGCAACAATTGGGGGGTGGGGGGGCGCTTTATTATTTCGTGACCCGTCGGAGGAGCGTTTAAAACCGCACGGGGTGTTAATTTCGGGGGAGCGTTGAAATCGGGTTTTACGGTATTTGTACGTATTGAATGTTCAACAGAAATTCCCTTTAGAAGCAGCCATATGGATGAGAGCGCGCATTTACCGGCAAGAAGGTGGATGCGACTTCATTGAACATCCTTGGTCCACGTTATGCACCTTCTTGCCGGTTACATGCGCTTTCACGCAACCTGATGGTTCACTTAAGGCTTCCATTGATCAGCTGGTACATATACGGTATACCGTAATTACCGAATTACGGTATAAGCTTTGGGTCATAAGTACATGGGTCATGGAATGGTCTCCAGTTACTAGCACTGGCTTATATTGCGGGGGATGCCCTTTAGTATATATTTTTCAAACTGGCATTCTTGGCATGGACTAATCAATCTGAAACAGGTACATAAATATCGTAGCTGAGCAATTATACCGGCAAAAGTGTTTGAAAACATAACAATTGTAGCACGGCTACAATTGTTATGTTTTGGCTACAATATTTTGTAGCCAAAACATAACAATTGTTTTGGCTACAATATTTTGTAGCCAAAAGAATTGCATATGTAGGCGTGAAATCCGTTTGCGTGCGCAACTTCCGGTTGCAGAGTTATCAGGGTAGCAAAATTCTAAAAAGTTTGAATACATTCAGGTGTACCAAAAGTCTCCTTATGGACCGTTATCCTTCAGATTTTGAAGGAAGTGCACATAACGATTAAGATCGTTCTTACACCAATCCAGACTTCCAATGATTTTTTTCGAATTTTAAACTGAAAAATTTATAATTCAAATTCATTTTAAGATTTGAAGAACATGCCAGAATATTAGATCGGTGTGAAAACTAGCTACCTTCATCGTTATGTGCATTTAAGTGCAAAATTTGAAGGAGATCGGTCCATAAGGAGACTTCTGGTACACCTGGATGTATCGTATTCAAATTTTTTGCATTTTGTTACCCTGATAACTCCAGCAATCGGATGTTGCGCGCGAAAACGGTTTTCACGCCTACTTAAACAAACCATTTGGCTGCAAAATAACGTAAAGTAATGCAAAAACAAGTGCGCAACAGCGAAAGTTACTGTGGATCTACACGAATTTGGTCATATGTACCAAATCTCTTAAAACATTATTTGGCAACGGCCAAAGAAACGGCTTACATCTGGGCTGACGGCCGGTTAATCCAACGCGGCTGGACGTTGCAGCGGGCTAGAGCGGCGTTTTAAACATTCATGTTTTAATTTAAAATTCGGAAGTGCTATGCACAAGAAAATTCCCTGGAGCAGTGGAATATGTATCATTCCAATTGGAATAACAGATAATAAGTACAGTAATGAAATTGTGCAGGTAATGCTAGTGTGCGAAATATTATTGTAAACTGTTCCGCTCACTAGCATTATCTATACTGGTCCAGTTTCATTATCTCCACTGGCATTATCTCCACAATTTAAGCTGGGCGGGCAAGTATCTGCAGTTAAGTATAATTTTGTGGTGTTGTGCGTTTGGCAGTGCGTTGACAGTGTTTTCCTTTTGAAATGACTGCTTTATAGTTTGTGTTACTTAACTACTTAAGGGAAGTGGCCCGGTACATGGTTCCTAATTCGTGTACATGCACGAGAACTTTCGCTATCGCGCGCTCCCCAACACATTTTTGTTCCAGTTTATGACATTTGTAGCCAGAAGATTTCTACAGTATACACTGGCGTGAAAACCGTTTGTGCGCGCAACATCCGGTTCGCGAGTTATGGCTGCTCCAAAATTCCAAAAAATTTAAATGCGTTCAGGTGTAAGAAAAGTCTCATTATAGACCGATCTCTCAAATTTTGCACGTAAACGCACATAACCATGAAGATCGTTTTTACGCCGATCCATTTTTAAATTTGAAAATGAATTGTAATATGTTTGAAATTCGTTTTAAAATTTGAAAAACATGCTAAAACAATGGGTCGGGGTAAAAACGTTGTTCGTGGTTATAGCATTTACGTGCAAAATTTGAATGAGATCATTCAGATCAATCCATAATGAGACTTTTGGTACACCTGAATGCATTTTAACTTTTTGGAATTTTCTAACAGCCATAACTCCCGAATCGGATGTTGAGCGCGCAAACGGTTTTCCTCGCCAGTGTATGCAAATCTTCTGGCTGTCGAATGTCATAAACCGAACAAAATGTGTTTGGTAGTGCGCGAAAGCGTAAGTTTTCGTGCATGTACGTGAATATGGTGCCATGTGCCGGACCACTTCCCTTAAACCGATATAGTATTTTCTCAGTCAGCGACGAAAATTTAAAGGCGAAGCCCCGAGTATATAGGTTACATCCGACGCAGCTGCACATTATACTCCGCCGTCAATCACAGCTAAAGTTTTCAATGTGTTAAAGCGTGAGTTACTTGTTTTAAGGTTTACAGATATTATATAGTAATAATTCTTTGCAACTGGAATGTTTAAATAATAACTTTGTGGTAATAGCAATAACTTTTGTGGGTATCGAACGAGAAAGTATCTAATTTTTCAACAGAGACATGTGTTTCCATTGCCAAAAAAAGTGAACCGCTGCTAAAGAAAACAAAATAGCAGCGAAATGGATAAATTTTGGCTGGAACCAATCCGTGGTATGCCAGTGGATCAAAGTACCTGTGGTGCAAGAGAGAAGTCCTAGACAATTTTATGCTACAGTAGAAAGTTGTGTTCTGACTCGCTGCATCCACAATAACACAGTACTCTAGCCACTCCTTTTTAATCCACTTCTGTATCTGTATGGTATTATTATGTATGTGCGGCCTACGAGTATCATATTCATCGGAGTATGTGCTGCACGTTTACGGAGTTTACCGGTTTTTGAAATGGGTAAATATTGACTCATAGTCAGTCAGCGTCAGTGAGTAAATACTGTAGTAAGCAGTGATAACGAGCGATGGAAGCGATTCTGATAAATACTCGTACAGGTATATAAGAAGATAAGAAGCGCGCAATTGCAGATAAGAAGAGAACGTACATGGCGATTTTCGATGGCTTTTCGTGCCTTTGGCATGCGAGTTATTTGACTGGTTGAACAAAGCAGCTTTTGTGTGTAAGAAATTCTTCGTTCGTACCGAAAAATCCCGTTTTGCTTCCTTCCTATTTCACCGTTTTAGTTTGGTGCTTTAACAAGGATTGCGCAGCTGTCGCCTCACGCGTGAGTTGGAATCGATTTCCTGCTTAAATATGTTGGCTTGTTTTATCGACATTGTCAAGTGTACTTGAAATGCTGTTATTAAATAAAATCCCAAAAAAAATCGGATGCCTTTTGAGAGGAGAGAAGGTAAAATATGGTGTGGGTGCCTCCCAGCGAAGCCCGTGTATTGCTTTCGAAAACTTCAAATTACATGACCCAGCTTTTGGTCGAAGTCCATCCACAGTATATAAAATCATCCGCTTTCCTGCCGGATTGCATCCTTTTCTGTTTGAACTAATGAAATGTAATTGCGTTACAGAAACTATTAGATACAAGCTGCACTAAAGGCAGATGCCAGGCAGATGCACTTTTTGTTGGTTGTACACGTACAGTAGTACGTGGAGACTGAGTAAAATTATCTGTTTTCAGAATAATCGTTTACTTTACAGTCCTTACTGGTTAGATATTAATTTTTACCTTATCCTTAACAAAGCTACCTGTATACGGTATTTTACATTGATTCAAAATAAGAAGGGCTGACAGTTGCTTAGACAAGCACTCCCTTTACTTGCTGCCATCACCCGACTGGTGTTTTACGTTGTTGATAAAAATGGTGCTTATGTAGCGCGCCTGATTTAGCCGTATGTGTTGTCGCAACGTCATATCGGGTGCCGAATGCAGGTACAGGTAATCCTTGCCCAAGCTATTGACAGCGCCTGCTATATGGCTGTTGGAGTATAGTTTATACAGCCAAAAGCGCTTGGCGAAAATTCTGGTGGAAGCCCCTCAATGATATAACCTAACTGCACTGTCAAACAACTGAAGCCGAGATGCCAACGGAGGAAAATTTTGCACTCTTCTAATTCAGTTCAAGACAGTTAGCATCTGGCTGGAAAATCAGCGGCGGCAGGATATTATCCTAAGGATATATATTTGCATTCGTACTGAATTAAAAGTGGGTCGGCCTACTTTACAATCGAATTTGTTTCTTACAGCAAGTCGTTGCGAAATTAAAATTATCATTTCGACAGTTGTACTCTGTACAATGGTAGTGTAGGAAGTGATTGCTTTATAACAATGCACTGTAAGAACGAGAATCGCGCGTATGTACTGCTGTACTCTGTACCTGTACCTTTGTAGGCTTTACGCAAAAAACTAATTACCCAGTTTGCACAGATTCGCACCTACTCGGACCGCTGATGATCAGCTCAAAGTCACCCGCTAAGAAAAATTGAATGGATGAGAAAAAAAGACGGCTGATTTGTGAACTACACAAAGGTGGCTACAAATGGCAGCAAATCATCGATCGCGTAGGCATTAGCCGTGCCACAATCCTAAAAGTTATTAAAGCTGAAAAATTATCCCGACGACGCACGAAGCTGAATGAAAGCCTCAGAAAAGAGATTCTAGAGTTAGTTCGCAAAGGAGATCAAAGTACGGCCGAAATAGCGAAGCAGTTCAATATTTGCACGGCCAGCGTGGATCGAATTCGGCTGAAAGCCACCGAATCGCCAGTCACGGAAGAGCAGAGGAAAATGATCCTTCAAATGTTCCATCGCGGCTGCTCAAGGGCGGATATTATACGTGAGGTTAAGGTTGACGGCGATGCAGCATATGCTGTAATTAGAAGTGCTCTGGCCGCGCAGCGGAAACTCTCCGTTAGCCAGTCGCAACAGGAAGAAATTCTGAACTGCTTCGACGAAGGCCGTACTAGGGAGCACATCTTGAAGAAGTTCGGCATCTCCGAAACGACTTTAAAGCGGGTGTTGCAGCAGAAAGGGAAAACGTTCCAAGAACGTTCCCTAAAAAATTATGAGGAGCGACAAGCGTCTGTTCTGAAACTCCGTGCGAAGGGATTAACAATGACGGCCATAGCTAAAAAGCTGAAAATAACCACTGGAGCGGTATTCAATATTCTGCAAAAGAACTGTGACAAAGCAGTGAAAGCACCCATCGTGGCTGATGGGCTCCCTTTGGGCAGGGTTACCCTTGAAATGGATTCGAGTACTGACGCCGGAGAACAGGTCGTCCGGAATCCGCCCATTATCGAGAGAGGCGATACCAACATAGCTGTTGGGTGCCGGAGGTCAGCTCGGGTCACAGCCTTGCAACAAAGAAATCCAGGGTGCAAACGCAAAAGTGTTTACGCAGCACATACTTCCGAATCAGAGGCCTCTGATGCAGAAACCTCTGAAGCAGAAAGCGATGCTTCCGATGCAGTTATATCAGGAGAGGAAACAGAGACTTCTGATGCGGAAATTTCCGAACCAGAAACTGACACTGATGCGGAGGATTCTAATACAGAAACCGAGATTTCCGGTGTGGGAACTTCCGGATTTGAATCAAGTTGTCTTGGTGATGGTCCGACCGCACAGCAACCTGCAGTTATTGATGGCGCTTCCGTTGGATGCGGTTCTACGCACCAGGATGGCGAAGCACACCACGGAAATTCTACAGCTCAACCCAAGCATCACAAGATGAACGAGAAAAACAAGCAGCTGATCTGCGAACTTTACAAAAGCGGCAGTTCATGGAAGGAAATCACAAACCGCGTGGGTATCAACATTATAACACTTCACAAATTTATCAAGGCAGCAAAGTTGCCCAGACGGCGTACCGGGCTGACTGAACTTCAGAAAAATGAGATCACAAAGCTAGCGCGCGAAGGAACCCTCAGTCCCGAAGAAATTGCGAAGCGATTCAGCATTAGCGTCCTGACCGTGGAGAGATACCGCCGAATGACCGTTACTAATGCGCAGAAGAAAAGTATCCTCCAACTGTATCATCGTGGGAGCTCAATAATCGAAATTATGAAAGAGGTTAAGCTGGGTGAAAAAGTCTGTAAGGCTGTAATTTCCCGCATCTCGGTCCAGCGAAAGAAGATCTCTGTTAGCCGGAAAAAGAAAAAAGAAATTCTGAAATGTTTTGAAGAAGGCCTCGGTGGACTGTACATCCAGGAGAAGTTTGGAATCTCAGAGAATACTTTAAATTGGATTTTGCTACAGAATGGGAAATCCCTTAAGGACCGCTGCCGAAACAGCTACCAGCAGAGACGAGCAGATATTCAGAAACTGCGCGCGGAGGGGTTGACAATGAGAGCAATAGCGAAACAGCTGAAGCTGAGCGTTCGTACGATAAGCATCATTCTGAAAAAAAACTGGGAACAAGAAGCGATTGCGCCGGAGGTGCTGTTGAGCAGGAAGTCACCTGCGATGGATTCCAATAATGTCGCGGAAGAAGAAGTCGACCTGACACCGCGAGTTGATGAGGACGGTGGCAGCAACACGGTCCATGGGCACCGGAGGTCAGCTCGGTTAGCCATGCAACAGAGAGTTCCAGGCTCTGAATGTGAACGTTGCTGTAATTCCGATTGTGTACATACCTTCGAGTCTAATCCGGACGAAAGAACTAGCAATGAAATCTCAGAAGAGCCGAGCGTGTGCACTGCCGCTGTAAAAAATTTACCTTCAGCCACAAGTATAAGTCTAGAATCGACCACTACGAACACGCATGGTCTGCAAGATGCAAGAACTTCCGAAGCTCATGCACTTGAATCGACGAGGAGTCTCGATAAAAGTCCAATCGCACAGCCAGCGGCAGTTACCGATATGGCCCTGCCAACCATGACTGTCGATGACGAAAATCAGGACGATACAGCGTCTCAATGCGGAAGTGCATCAATGGTTACACATAGCGGAGATTCTGTGGCTGGCTACATACAACACGGCTCACCAAATTTAGGTTCGTCGGTGTTCGGCAGTGAAACCGCAAGGATGCCGGGATCTGTTGAGGTCAATGAACTGCGTGACATGGGCAGTCAGAATGGTATGGCGTATTTTTATAGTGTTATTTTTACAATAAGTGCATGTAGCTTCATGTAGCCGCACTGCCGCGTTATTATGAAGTACATGTAGCTACATCATATTTTGTACATGTACAGAGTATGTACATGTAGCTGCAGCCTGCATCTTCCTGTAATACCTGCTGAAATTTACTGGTAATCAAGCTAAACAGACAATCTAACAATACGTAGGTTTAAGTTTAATGCGACAACGTTTAAGTTTAACAGTTGTTAGGCATTTTGTTATGTGTAGTGGTTATTGCCAAATAAAAATACGTAAGTCTCCACACTCGCGAGATGTTGATGATAGCACTTGTACAGCGCTTACTTGTTAGCATCTTCAGTCTTAATTTGCAATCACGAAAGCATACAATCTTTCTGCATCTACATAGCCGCTGCTGCACACAGCCACCATGCAGTAGATATAACGGACCCCCATCAGCCGCTGTCGCGCGCTAATGAAGCGCGTAACGTCACACCATCCCCTCTACATAACGTAGCAGACAGTGAGCCGCCCATTGTACCAGTCGGGAACATCGCCTTCACAGAAGAATTCTCACTGGACCCCGCAAGCGGACAGCACAGTACTGCTGCACGCAACGACCATCCTATAAGCACTGTGCATAACCAGCAGCTGCTGGCGCCTATCGAACCTCGTGACAGCTCTCCAGAACGGCAAAATAACGAGCCGCCCATTATGCCAACTAGTAGTGCGCCCAACGCTTTGCCGGACCTGACTGTACAGGAACGAGAAACGGTTACGGATCGGAACAAAAGCCCATACCGAGAACTGCAGTCCATCGTTCTGAAACTTCGCGAACACGGGTGTTCTTATGAAGTGGTTAGGCGGAACATTAAAACCTGCTTCCTTTCCACAGCCACCTCAACGGGAGATGCAGAAATGCCGGGCACCAGCCGTGAAGACCTCCCTCAGGTTAGCCGCATGTTTGGCGTGCACATCGCGGTTGCCATGGCTTGAAAAATATATCAAATTAATCTTACTTTATTATTAGTTGACTGCACCGCAAAACTTTCGCGGGAAGGTTACGTAAATTCGGAACGCAGAATACTCTAGCGCTTAACGATTTCGTATTTGAAATTCCTTACGCTATACGCAATCTCGTACACTTGCATTTACGACAATATGTTTCATTATTAGGATCGGCCTTCACCCGCTATACATGGCCCCGAAACATTCATTCCAACGACAAACGCATTACGCCCGGCTGAAACTGCTGATGTTGCTGATACCGTTCTGCGTGGATCGGTAATTCGGCACACTGACAGCTGCTGCGCTAGCGAACGCCATAGAGGTGCAGAAAAATTGAACTGACGTCGAATTGGCTTTTACTGGTTTACAGATACATTTCACAATAATGCTTGAATGTATAGTAAACAAATTCATTCCGTTTTCTTTAAATGTGGCTCGCGTGCAAGTAACCCAGTTTTCAGTTCTATGCACAAGGCAGAAATTTATACGTAACTTACTCGCTTCCAGAAGCTTAACTCTATCGTAGATGTTTTTTGTGATAGAGTCACTGGATTCAAAATATGTTTGCAAATTTCAGAAAGGAGCAGCCATGATCTTCCTGAAGTCAGCAGTCACGGCGAGCAGCAACGCAATTCCTGTGATGATGTTTCTAGAAGAAAACAAGACCTAACCAATGCAGGCAAGATCGCGGGGATAACGGAGAGACGTGTCCGCAGAATCGTCAGATCCGGCCCACGACGCCAGCTGTGTAATCCTCCAACAGCATTTTGTGTTTTGGCATCTAAGCGTGCCAAGCCTTCCCAACGTCCGAACGGCCCAGCATCTGAAGACAGACGCGCAACCACATCGATACACCACGGAGATTCTATGGCTGAACATACTCCACCCGGCTCTCCAAATTTATGTCCGCCGGTGTGTCGCAGTGAGAAAGAAGGAGCACCGGGACCTCCTGAGCTAAATGAAGACACCAGTAGCCTGAGCGGTATGTTATATTTTGATATTACGGGCCATAGCTGCACAGTACACGAATATAGGGGGAAAAATGAGTCTAGCCGAACAAGTCCCTTGTACTTCTGATGTCAGCCGGCTGGTGTTTTGCGTTGTGGCTATACATGGTGCTGATGTACCAAGCCTGATTTAGCCGCATGTACTGCCGTAACGTCACATTCCAGGCGGGTGACGGCAGCAGTACAGGGAACCGGGCCGAGTAGACTTGTTTGTCCCCCTATAGACACTCTGTGAGGTACACACCTATTGATTAGACTGCACTGCTGCACCGTGCTGCTACCAACTAACGTTTTACGAAAGTGTATTCGTGTGAATACCAAAAGACTATTGTTGTCCACAGGCAAGTCTGTTGTGTTAGTTTCATCAATAATTCTATGTTGGGATAAGCATAACCTGTAGTGTATGTTAAGTACTCGTACAAAGGTTGTACGAGTATCTCGTGAAATGGATAATGACCTATGGCTAATGTGCCGTAGCAACGGTATTGTTGTTGTCCGTTATTGTTGCCATGTCTAGTGTTTAGTTGGTTGTTTGCTGCTGTCCCGAGCGGACATAATAAAAGATTATGCCGTTCGTTCAATACATGACATAACCATTTATTTCTTATCCGCATGGTATGTGTGCATTTTAATGAATTCGACCTTATAAAGGTGTAGCTGTGGAATTCTTTAACGTTTACTTGTTATTATAACAGAACAGACATTTTCTGCATACATTCAGTAGTGATGTTTCGCCGTATATTGAATACTCGGCAGTGGTTTATTTGAATAGGCCATTTGCCTTTTGCCTAATGTTTTTCGCCTTATTTTAGTCTCTACTGTGTACAGTCACCAAATCCTGAGCGTCAGCACAATGGATCAGCGGCCGCAACCGGACGATAGCGAAGCCTGTAGCAGAGCTCCAGAATGTCAGCATAACATGGCAAACAGTGAACCGCCCGTTGAATCCGCCAGCAACGACGCCGTTGAGCAGGATATACACAGCAGGGAATCACCGGTGACCTTCCCGCTGCCTGTTAGTTAGTTCAAGTGTGCCGACTACTTGTACGATTGCTTGTTAGCTACTTTAAGGCTGCAAAATCAATATCTTCAACCAGGAATAAGACACAGCGAAGACGTTTATTCAGCTGTTATTGGCCACCTCATTTGCTGCTAAGAATGTTGGGCCAAACGCAATAATTGTGTGGCAGTCTTGCCGTTATTTTGAAATATTCTTCATGTTCATAGACTCAACCTTCCACTGCAATACTTGAGGATGATATATGCGTGACTCCGGTTCCTGTATTACATGTATGTCGGTTGGAAGCTGAAGGCGCTGGTAATATCGAGCAGCGATCGGAAGCAGCCGTTGATCACACCAATACGGGGCCGCTTCTATATTCGCCCCAACTTGAGCGGATGCCACCTGAGGACCGACAACAACCGCATGTAACTTTAGAGAAGGCGGATTCACTCAACCGTGAAAGCAGGAATGGTGACGCAAGTTCATTACCAAATGACAACTGCGCTGTCGAAGATCATCCTCCACACTCTGGTAATGGATCAGCAGAAAAAATCACAAACAGCGACGACTGCCGCGCCACTGAGAGCCAGAAACGTGTGTATTTTGTATGCTGTAATGTTACCTGCACTTGTCCATTAATTTATTTTGCAGTGCGAGCTTACGTACGCTGTTTGAGCCATTCACAATTCTATAAAACAGTATACGGCTTACGATACAACACATGGACTGGGAGCCATGTGTGTGATCTGTCAGATCCGGTCCGGATCTGACAGAGGTGCAAGTCGACCGAACGGATTCATTAAAATAATGACGTAAACTGCAAATTTGTTGAATAAAATTTGTCATGATGTAACCAATTTAAATTGACGATCTCAGCGTGGCCTACGATTATATAATGGAATTTTATATGACGAGCAATTATTTTACAGAAGTTACGGCTTCAGTGTGTGGGGATAATCGTTGGCGTTCACTCGATGATTATTTCGGCATGCGACACTGTCAACAAAACTCTGCGCTTGAGGAAGATTCCGTGGCAACGAAAGTACCGGAAAACATTTTGCGTGGCACAGACACAGAACCCAGGGAGTCTGCGAATACAGCTACCCATATTCCAAACATATCCGCAGCCGCAGACAACACCGCTTTACAATCGCAGAAGACTACGAACAGGGAAAGCAGTCAATATCGAGAAAAGCAGTTCATCGTTCTAGAATTGCACCAAGAGGGATGTTCGTCTGATGCAATGCAACAGCCCCACGATGTTTGCTTCGTGCCCGGTGCAGCATCCATGCAAGATGGCGGTAGAGTTGTCGAAGGCCAAGACAACAGCGACGATGAAGCATTCGCAACCGGTCAACTCAGTAATGTAAGTGCGGTGCCAAACTATATCTTTGTTGATTTTTTGAGGTTAATTCGTACTTGCACGAATACTAGTTACAGTACCACTCAAAAGCGATGTATCCTTTATACAAATTACAATTGTTAGCGATTAAAGTCGTCTTCAGTTAACAAAATGTAGGGGTGTCAATATAAAGAGTTGCTTTGGCGGTTTATAAGTTGCACAGTTCATAATGCCGTTAAGCCTTATGAATTGTATAAAATTGTATACCATAAATTTTAACTTTATTTTGAAAATACTTCCTATGTTACGTAGACTCAACCTTCGACTGCATTTCCTAACCATGAAACATGCGTTACGCCGGTATTCACATTATGGCCGATCGAAACGGAAGATGCTTTGGATAACGGGCAGCAGCGGTCGGATACAGTCGCAGATCCAACTTTTGTGGCCCCGATCGTAGAACCGCCTCGACCTGAGTGCTTGCCAAGTCATCTCCAACAGCCGGATCATTCGTCCGAGCCTATCCCAGAAGTCGGCGTAGATGTGGGAACTGACACAGCACAATTTCACTCCAGCCACAGTACAGTGCACCCAACTTCCAGTGAATCGCCAATCCGATGCGCGGGAACGGCTCCCGAGATGCTGTCACTTCAGCCAGAAAATTCCACCACGAGCAGTGTCCGCGCAAGATATCAGTGTCAGATTTGTCGCTTATCCTGCGAGGAAGAGGACGCATTTCTGTCCCATCTTGCAAACAGGGAGCATGAGCAGCTTTGTGCAACCGGGGTTTTTCTATATTGTATAGGATGTAAGTTCAAAACCCGGAAACCGGCAACGATGGGCAAGCATATTGTCAAGTACCAATCGCAAAGTACTTTGCAAATCAGTGATATGCATTCTGTTAAAGCTATCCATTGACTAATGTCAAGCGAATCATGTTTCGGGCACTACAACTGTGACGCATCAGGCACGGATTCATCTTAACAGTGACATTACGCACACCACTGATTGCGGACCTGGGGTTCAAGACGTAGTGCTTGTTGTTTGTCCAGTTAATTACTAGTATTATTATTATTGATTATTATCACTTATGGGTTCCACAATTGTAGATAAAATAATATATGCAGCCAGCGGATTGCGGTGTATTTTTGAATAAACACATTAATTGTACACTAAAGTGTCTTTTGTGACAGTTTTGTCAGTTAAAGGAGACCGTTACCATTTCCTGCAGTACAGTCTGTATTATGCGCCTCTGGCTTTTGTCACATAAAACAAAAAATAAAATTCTTAAAAATTATTTAAACGAGTGTGTGCGTTTGATACATTTGTGAGCATGTCAACGTATCAGATCTCTGTGTACTGTACACCCTGCACTTGGAGAAATTTTGTACAGTATGAGCAGTACGGCATTCAGTAGACAGGCGAAAGTAAAGCCGATTGCGTTAAGGGATTTGGCCCGGTACATAGCGCTAAAATCGTGTACATTGACGGGAATATTCGCTTTCGCGCACTTTCAAACACTTTTTTGGGTTGCTTTTTGACATTGTGTAGCCAAATTATTGGTGTACATAGGCGTGAAATCCGTTTTCGCGCGCAACATCCGATTGCTGAGTTATGAGGATAACAAAATTCCAAAAAGTTTAAATGCATTCAAGTGTACCAAAAGTCTCATTATGGACCGATCCCTTTCAAATTTTGCGCGTGAATGCACATAACCATGAAGATCGTTTTGACACGAATCCACTGCTCTAGCATGTTTTTCAAATTTTAAAATGAATTTCAAAAATTTTAAAATTCATTTTAAAATTTAAAAAAAATCGTGGAAGTCTGGATCCGTGTCAAAACGATCTTCATGGTTATTGTGCATTTACGCGCAAAATTTGAAAGGGATCGGTCCATAATGAGACTTTGGGTACACTTGAATGCATTTAAACTTTTTGGAATTTTCTTACCCTCATAACTCGCAACCGGATGTTGCGCGCGCAAACGGTTTTCTCATCTAGGTATACAATTCTTCTGGCTACAAAATACCATAAAGCAATGCTGAAAAGTGTTTGGGAGCGCGCAACAGCGAAAGTTCCCCTGAATGTACACGAATTTGATGCTATGTACCGGGCCAAATCCCTTAAGCCATTAGCCAGCAGTCTGCATGCACATTTGCAAGCCGTGTATGTGAGCAGTGAACGCTGTCGCACAATGTACGCGTGGCTGCACAGCTGAAACTTTCTCCGAGTGCAGGGTCAGGGTGACAGTACAGTATATGATAATTGTCAATCGACTTTTGCCGAAAAAATTAATTTTCAAATTACACTGCGGTAGAATTCAATCTTTCTACGAAAAACAATTTTTAAATAAAATTAACCTAAACACACTCGTTCCAAATCGTCCGGTTAAGCGAAAGGTCACAAATGCTGTTGGCGAAAATTATCTTTCAATTTGCATGATAATAGCTCTTTTACGCAAACCGACCTTCCATTCCCATCGCACTGCGTTGGCTAATGGCAAGTTCTGCTCGAACTACAATTTTCTTCAAACCGAATTCAATGTGGCTAAAAACATTTTGTAACAAAAATACTGTAGTTGAACTCTTTTTTCGATTTGTAAAGGTTGCCAAAACTGCCAAACTGACAAAAATTAATTTAACCGGCGCGGCATAGCTTCCGCGGTTATTACCTTTGCCAATTTATCAATATTAACATATTGGGAGGAGTGTATTACAGATCCCAGAAGAGCGCTGCACCATCCTTGGGTTTGGTCATTATGCCAATATTAAAAAATCGACAACGAGTTACGTACCTTAATTTTTTCTTACGCGGTGGGACACTGATCCCACGCAAAACGGTTTTGTCAATATTGACAGAGTATTTCTAAGTCAGCGCGTTACAACGCACGCCTTGCGACGCTGGTCGCCGTTAAGCCTCAATAAAACAATCTTGCTGAAATACTCCCCAAGCCTCAGAACACTTGAGTCACGTGAGAATATTGTTGTTGTAACCTGTAGACGGAAGAAGAAAATGCCCACGAGCCTCGACGACGTCAAAATGGGGCAGCTACCAGGCTGTTTCCAAAGCTATACTCTTGCTATTACTGTCCGTGTTGATGCCCGTCACAGGAACGTCGGCGCTTGACGCAGGTGCAGCTGACTCAGACTCAACAAATAAATCTAGGGACATTTATGCACGTTTAATCTGGGAAATATTCGTGTGTAACCGGCAAATTTTAGACACCCGCAATTCTGACTCCATAGTTCTATTTGTAAATAAGGGCCAAGAAGCAGATCATGTTAACCGTTTTAAGATATGAGCGTTTGCTAGCTTTTGCAAGCTTATGCTATGCAAGATACGAGCCCGTGTTGCACTATTCACTTATGTACTGTACTGAACAGTACTTGAACCAACTTACCTTACTTCCAACACTTCTGCAGATGCTTTGATTACAATCAACTTAAATGTGCACTGCACACTTTACAGTTTTTATATAAATTTTTATTTTACAATACTCAAGACCAATAATTTGGAAACATTTTTCTGAACCCGACGTTATAAAAAACAGAATTCAGGGTTTGAAATGTCTAAAAAATATGGCTTTAGTGGACCAAGCTTGCTTAAACCTATCGCACAGCCTCAACCGATTACGAAATTTCACGGCCTAATCAAACAGAACATTTCGTCAAATTAGCCGATGCTGGTGCTGTTCCCAAGACAGAGGCCGCATTCCCGCGTTGGATTTCAACGCTGATCTGCTGCATGGCGCAATATTCCGTCGCCGGTACCTCGCCTGCTTCCTCTCGTATCATCTTCCCGACTGCGGTGACCAAGCGAGAAGCCTCCGGTCCGAATGTTTCGACGTCTACTGCACGGAACATGTAATCATGGGTGATTTCCCGATAGTTTTCTGTTCTGCGCGTGTCGCGGCACCTGCTTGCTTCCATGTTGCTGCGATGTGTACCAAAGCTACCGTGCACACCCATGTGGCGTCCCAGGTCAACATTTTTCCTCTTTCCTACGGGACCAGCGTTACTCCATCTGGGCGTTTGCCGTTGGTTCGGCATATATTAGTTGGTTCCAGTTCCGTTTTTATGCCGAGTCACCGGCTGAAGCGAAGGCCTGCTTCAAAGTGACATTACTACAGCTGTGTCTGGGCTTCCGGCCCCGGCTATTTTTGCAGCTGAGGCCATGGTATCCTCGCGCGTCGACCCATTCGCCGCAGTTGCAACGATGGAAAGTGGTGATCGTTAGCTACGGTAGATTCCACTAGATCTGTTCGGTAGTTGCCGACCGCTATAGGCTCATTGCCATATGTATTTTATTTTATTTAAAAACTCTAATGGCCTTCCGAAGCCAAATCCGAAAAGGAGCCAAATCCATTATATATATAAGTACTTTAATTAACTGCCGAGCGCGAATGCCGAGATTCATGTAAATATGTACTGTATATAAAATTACTTCTGTGAATGTGAACTGATAAGTGATAACAAACCTTAGTCTTTGCATGTACTTAATCAATCTTCACAGAATAAACTATTCATAAAAGTTGAGAATTTTTGACAGGATGCCTCAAGTTGTTTTTGGTCGCATCAGGAAATTTTTCAACGTGATTGCCACGGGCACACTGTAAATTATTCTCCGCAAAAAACCGGTACAAACAAGCCCCGCAAATGCAAAATCACAGACTACAACTAAAAAAAGGACAAAAAACAAATGTGCGGAGGACCCAAGCTAAAACATCAATCAAAAACTAGCGCGCGCAATCAGCGGAGCTCCGGACCGGGAACGCGTCATACTGCCAGCCGTGGGAGTGCGGCCGTTCTCCTGCCCGCGCGCCGGCACCCGTTCGCGGGAGGCGCTGCGACTACGTGACTGCCGCATGCTCCGACACAGATCAATCCCTTCCCAGGCGTCTTCGTAGGACGGAGGTGGCGGCAGCACCGGAATCATCCCACTTCCGCCGCTCGTGGCGTAAAACGCCCGATTTCGATTACTGGAAGTCGGGGCGTTACGCAGCGGCACCGGGGGCTGGACCAACGAAGATTGCGAGTACGAGCGGACCCTCCGTCCCGTCTCCCCACCGCCGCGTTGGGAACCCAGCGTGGAGCTCGGGTAGTCGATAAAGCTGCGGATGCGCCGCAGGGAGGAGTTATTGGAGCGACTCCCGTACTTCCCGTACCGGAAACGGATGCTCCCGGTCAAACTGGCGGCGATGGTGCTGACCACCAGCTGGACCACACCCAAAGCGACGAGGACCCCGGTGAGGGGCTGGTACAGGTAGATGTCGGCGTGGCGGAGGATGAACTGCGGGGTATAGAAGAAAGGTCGCTGGCCCAGCCACAGGAGGTGGACAATGTTGAGGGCAAAGAGGGCGCCGGCGGCCAGGGCGCTGAGGACGTTGAGGACAATGTAGGCGGTGGGGAGTGCGGTGCGCCAGCGGTTGTGCTTGCTGTCCTGACTGAGATCGGGCAGGTGGAGGAAGTGCGATTTGCGCAGCCGGAGCCCGGTGACCCCCGTGGCCAGGAAGAGCAGGCCTGCCCAGACGCCGAAGGACAGGAGGAAGTGGCGCATTTCCGGTTGGAGGTGCAGCAGAATGATACCAGTAACTAAATAAAAATAAGCCGTGAGTGAATTGGCGCCTGTACAACTGTGAGCCTATCGCCATAATATAAATCGTGCAGATTCCGTGATTTCGTTTTATTTTATCTTTCTATTTTAACTTCAAGGTACTGTAATAATAAGTGTCATTAGATTTTATTTATGTACTAGTACATTGACTCCGCTAAAAAGAAGCGCAGAAATACTGTAATCTGTTCGCAAATTGTGGGTTTATTTGCATACATACTCACATAATGTGTGTACGAGTACGCTTAAACTGGCTTTAATTACTGTAGCCGCTAGATGAAGTTAGACCACAGAGTCTGGTGTACGGAAAAATGCAAGCCCGATATACGGACTTTGCTCCATGCAAAAATGTTTTTGATTTTCCTCTGCTGGTACCAACATTTGACATGTTTTACTGTTCTTTGCTATTTTTTAATTCTTTGCAACGAAAGATATTTCTTTTAAGAGCACAATGACACAGCTCTGACAGTTTGCTATTTATAAATCTGATTTGTTGTGGTTTCTGGGGTGCCCCTGGCAGGGGCAGCACAATACTAAATGCAATGAAAAGTGTGCGCCGCCCGGTGGGAGGAAGGCTCGTGCTCAATGCCTGATGAGTGGAAGGCAGCGCCCGGATCTAACAGTGGTCTCACTTCATCTAGCGGCTACAGTACTGCATGTAGGAAACTGAAGACGAAGAAATTGTACGTAACACGATGTTGAAATTTAAACAATAAAAAAATTTATTAACGAACAATTAACCGTGAAAGCGCATTAAACTGGTGCGATTTATCTGTACCGACAGTACCGTATACGATATATATGATTTTTTACGTAATATTTATACTTCTACGTATAACAGTACGATTTCTACTTTTATGAAACTAGTACGGTATTTATTTACGATATTTATTTACTTTAAACTAGTGCGATAAATAGTACGACACGATTTAATGTCTATTATTAATGTTTTATTGTCTAAATTTTGGCTGTCAAGTTTTGTAGTGTACCAGCGCTCGCAACCGCAGTATACTTAAGAAGTAGTGTACTTGGGTGGCTGTTGCGTATTAGAGACAACATAGTATTTATTTATTATTTATTATTACCTAGTTTTAATAATAATAATTAAAGGCAGTAACATGGGGATCGTACTCGGTAAAATCGGTGTCAACTGGCAAGTAAAAATCTGTTTTCCTTATAGCTGCGGTGTTTATTATGGTACCAACAAGGTACATGACAGTCATGGCCAAGAGCAGATTTTTCATCCCGGAAACTAGTCATCGTTTTGGTAGCACTTGTAGGGTTAACCAAGCATTTATAATACCGCTTGTGTAATTGTATTTTAATGATTTTGCCGGTAAGCAGCTTAATCACCACAGCCACTACTATACTGCCGACAACCTGCGCAAAGCGATGACCGGCTGAAGTGTCTAATGTCTATATATAGTTATCAACCAGGGCTACATTCTCCGAAAATTCTAAACGGTTTATCAATATTATGAGTCAAACATAACAGGCATATAGAATTTATCACGCAAGCGTCGTCGATTAACGAATAAATGCAAAACCAATGCATCGGACCTTTAATAAGACTTAGTATCATGTCACAAGTACAAACTTAGTACTAGAAAACGTTGCTAAATGCTAAATGCTAAACCAATGCTAAATGCTAACCGTTATTATTAAACGCGGTGACAAGGGATAATTTCGATCAATTTAATTACCTTTTTTAAATAGATTAATCTGTTTTTTTTAAGGAGTGTTCACTCGTACGCGCTCTTGATTACCGCATTCTACTTTACCGGATAAGTGTACGAGTACTTTTCGATTTAAGATTTTAAGCGTATCGATCCAGGTTTAGTGAAATGTGTCAAAGAGGCGCCGCCACCCGCGGGCGGAAGGCGGTACATGCTCTTTCTTTTAAACCGTATTCGGGTAAACTGTCGAAATTTGCAAATTGATAAAATCGCAATCAATGACAAACGCTGAACTCTATATCTGCTCCAGACATGCTACATAAAATACTGCTTTTAAAGGAAACATACGTGTAATTTATTTTATATAATGACCAGTTGACCACCAAAAAATGCATAGACTGTAAAAATGCTGCTTGCAAAATCGGTGGAAAATATATAAAACAAAACATTGTAAATTTGCACTTACAAATTCCTTGTGTTATCAGGCTGGCGCAGCCCAGCGCGATCTGCAGACCCGACAGAACACGGATTGTCGTCAAAACACCCCAACTGGAGCTGCTCACCCCCGCACTGAGACCAGCATGGTCATACTGGCGAAATTCGCGCGATGCCGACAATGTCGTCATTGTGACCGGAATTTCAATCATCAAAATCGCAACGACCGTTGTTCACTCGGTGGCGTCTTTAAGGAATGCAAATTTTTACAAAAGTTCATTACGCTAAAAAGCGCTAACGTGACATGACAGAAGGAAAAACTGCAACTACACTGTCAGGTTTACGGGGAAACATGGCGTCGACGGAAATTTTTCTCAACAGCTCCGCACTTGATCCGTCACGCGTAAATGCAAACTGCACGCGGGTGAGAGAGATAAACTAATCAACGATTGGTGTATAACGACCATCTTTGGCCCGTGTACACTGCAGGCGATTCTCGCATATATGCATTGAGCAGAAGAGAGAGAGTGAGATGTCGATGTAGTGAAAAACATCAACAAAATGGGGGATATTGTTCGACCTAGTTGAGGCTGCGCGACGCGGTATGGTGTGCGCATGGCTGCGGATATTGATCATATTCCTTTAGTATCGAGTGCCGGCGAGCGACAAGGTTAACCTCGCACTCACCTGGGCACTGTGTCCATACAACTGTCGTACCGGCGCCGGATGCAGTGGTAGAATCTATGAGTAGCGTATGGAGGAACCGGTTTAATTCACCTCGTACACGGTGCTATACGGCTAGTACAGGTGCCAGAATCCTTCGGTAGTGAGTGATACATAAACATGCTTAATCCGCTTCGTACATTTGTAGGATCCACTGCAAACCGGATTTTTGCTGTCCTTCCTGTGCAGCATTACACCGTACATACGCACAATACTACAGTACGTAGTGCAGTCATTTAATACCGTACATATTAGTACAGTACTATTAGTAAACCTGCGATTCATTCTGTCGATGTTCAATGCTGTTTGTACGAGTACAAGAGTTACTGTAGTGAACCGGTTTTAGTTGGTATGGTACACTTGTACAGCTACGCTCCAGTGGCCGTCAAGACGGGTCGATCAATTCCCCGCGCTGATGGATACAAGCGGATGGGCAGTGTGGGGGCCATCCGACACTCCGCAGCACTGGCATTGGCACTCATCCGACTGGATATGGCTTAAGCCATGTTCCCGCTGTGTTCATGCGCTAAGCGGTCCAGCCGGCACTTACAGTGTGTTACCGGGAAAAGTATGAGTGAATAACATGGAAGATGCCATGCGCGCACCAAGTGGAACACCTGAATAGTAAACTGTTCGATAAACATACGATCGCAGGCGATACGGATACGTACATTCCAGCGCCTTCTGTACGAGGCAAGCGGCAACTCTTTCCCATCGCTTTAGTAAATTTTATCACTTTCCCCGCTGCATCTTACCCGTGTGCAGGCGCTCACGTGATATCGTATCTATTCACCATTCTAATCAGCGCTTACTTAGCCGGCGATAAAATCTCACCTGCCGTCCTCTTCGCTGTATTCTTTATCAGTCTGCGTAATCAACTATAGCTGCAAACCGGTTTAGACGTGAAACGGCTGAAATCAAATATCACGTGACCGCCTGCACACGGGTAAGATGCAGCGGGGAAAGTGATAAAATTTACTAAAGCGATGGGAAAGAGTTGCCGCTTGCCTCGTACCAAATTAAACTGTTATACAAATTATTAATTAATTACGAGTCGAATTAAGTACAGATGATACAGCATCTTCGTTAATTATACTGTCATTGCATTTCACTGATGAGAAATTTCTAATCCGGTTTTATTGCCCTGTCAGAGAATTTATGCAACTATTTAGACTGTGGCACTGCAGTACAGTTTTTATTGGGCAATGAATTTATTTTTATCATCCTGCTTTTTTAATGCAGGAACGGCAAACTGCGCTCTTAAGAAAAGTCAAACAAAAAACTACAAATTAACGGAAGAAAATAGAATTACGTCCTTCACAACCCACGCTTCAAGAAACATTTTAACTGTAATTATTTATAGTGGTATGTACGGTACACCGAGTCACCGGAGTCCAAGAAATCGTAATTTCCAATCCGGCACGATTGCCCAGACTTTAGCGATTCCCGTTTTGACGGGCTTGTTCTCGCCTGCTCCCACCAAACTGTCGATGGATAACCGATCAGCAAATCGCAGTGAATTAACAGGCGTTAATTAGCAGTTGAATGGGCCCTGCCAGTGAAAAGGCGCTCTAACGACACTGCCGCACTCCATACCAGCTGGACACGACATGTCTCTGACATGGAGAGGGTATAGTGCAGTGTATGGCGCAATATATAGCCCAAGCTGCTCATTTGGCCTCTGCGTGCCGCTCCCGCTGACAGGGCCAAGGGGCCGGCCGGGATACAAGGGAGACGACGGGCCGACGGAAACTAATCACGGCCCTCAAAGACTCTCAATGTCGAAATGGCGTGAGAATCCCCAATAAATTCTCCCGCCATTCGGCATTGTGATGCCGCCCCCGAAAAGACAACAATGCGCGCCGTTGGCCGGTTGCGTGACTGACGATCCCGGCGCTGCAAGACAGAATGGGTAGTATGGAGCTGAAAATGAATTGCTGCAATTTGTAAGTCATCGTTTTTGTCGCGCGCTGGTGTGAGGATTTGAGGATATGCTGGGTGTTGTATAATCATGTGTGTGTGCCGACTTAAGGAGTCAATTGTGGACTTCTTTACGATCGTGCAACCGGGAAAACATTTGTTTGCTGGGTCATGTTTGCAGCACCGCTTCTTTGCTCTATGTTTTTCTTAACAAATGCAGTAAAATCCGGTAAAGTTGGATTAAAATACTTATGATTAATTTTTATGGGAGTGCTCTTCACAATTAACTTCGGAAATTATTTGGCGAGCTTCGGCGGAGTACGAACAGTAGAACACAATGCTAACACGTTCGTTGTCGCTGAAACTTGCCGGATTTTTTCGGACTACCCCGCCTGAAATTCCCCGCAATCTGGGCGCGTTATGACGCGCCAACGCTGCCACCCTCGTTTTGATCTTGTCAAGTTTATTCAGACAAGTAAACACGCATCTCCAGCAATATCTGTACAGTTAACATACACAGCTGATTTTGGCCATGTGATGTCACAATGGAAGCCGGTATGGGGATACAACGGTTTGACTGTAAAGCGAGCAAATTGCCTTGATGTTTCTTTTGTGCCGGGTAAATAAGAATGTCTTACGGTAAGCAAATTTCGCCGGTTGCTTATTGTGTCGGTGTATCAACAACGGCGTGACACTGCGGTATTGTTAGAAGTGATATCGTTTTGATGGAAGCGGCAAACAGCTTTATAAGCGGGACGAAATTCTTCGTACAAATGCTGGTGTCGTCGGGAGGTGCGCATCATTTTACATATATTTTTACACACATTCCATTCTGCTTAGTCGGGCGCCATAGATTACTAGAAAATAGTAACTGCTAATTTTTATCCAATAAAAATGTTCGCAATTTCCGCGGTTGTACTGCTTTTGGCCGGTAAGACTTTACAGTTTACTATTATTATATGATTCTCATAATCCGTAAAATAACGTCTGTTCGCCCTTATTGTTGAAAATAGGCTTTGGCTGGTTTTCTTTTTAGATTTTATACTGCTAACGACAATAATACAATTTCTAAAAACAGGCAATATACTCTAAATTTCCATATTTTTTAAATTTTTGCATTTGCTTGCGTACTACGGTATCTGTAATTAGTACAGTTATTCAGCGCTGTGGTTATACGAATTCCTAGTGGATCTAACTATAATAAAATTACGTTAAATAAATTTCGTTTGTTTCTTGCCTCACATCTGTTACTGCTATTTGGCAATGCATTTTCCTTCCTTGAAAAAATAAAATAGTGATCGGTATTTATTAAATCATACATGCATGATGCCACAATAAATTCGTTTGTAAGCACTAAAAGCTACAAAAAAGCTAAGTTTGTAAGACATATGGCGTAATGTATACTGTAAGTGCATGTACAGTTTAGCAAAACGTTAAATTGATGGCATATATGGCTTTGCTAGCATATTTTGACTTTACTTTATATAAAAAAGCTGTGTTTATTGTTTTGCTTTTTATTACGCTATAACGTTTATTGCTGGACACTGGCGATCAGTATCTCAGATTTTACCGCATTCCGTCGATACTGGTTATCGTTAATCGATATATCGACGTATTGCATAGCTGGCGGCTGTCTGAGCCAGACCAACACCACTCCCCGGCCTTCGACGTCACCGCCCAACTGCAACTGCCAGATGCCATCGTGGATGACCTCGCAGAACAATAACGGGCAGAATTTCGCCATGCCCAGTCCACCGCCGATCTGCACCAATCAGAACCGGAATTTCACCAGCATGTGCGATTTGATTAATGCCGGAGCCACCAACCAGAGTAATATTCTTGACCACGCCCAATGGGAGCATTACGTTTAATTGATGTATGTTTTGCCGCTCAGATCTGGGATTCCGACCATGTCAGTTCTTTAATTCGTCTAACCAAGGAGGTAAGCAGACTGTTTAAATGATCTTAGTTTCACTTTTTCATGACCTTTTGGCTGGCCCAAAATACCGTATTAAAAAAATAATTTTTTACTGAATGCGTTTATTTATTTTTCGTTTATTTATGATTTGCAGTTTTTCCTGGTCCAATGATGGGCGGCAGTATGAACTTTTCCGCTTCCGGGTTCCCAATGCCGACCTCGAGCGGAGCGTTCCAGCAGTCAGGATTCGGTCAGCAATACCAAACAACTGGACAAGGTATTATTTATCATAAAACTACATCTGCGGGCACAAAATTTATGTGATACAGTATTCTACAACCTGGCACCCAAAATCTCTCGTATGCGCAGGATTTAACGGGATGCAAGGAGGACAATTCGGCATGCAAGGAGGACAATTCGGCAATCCAGGTAGAAGTCGTACTACGATTTTTAAAAAAGCAGACCGAAAAAAACTTATTTGTATTGCAAGTGACTAACAAATTTTTGTCACCCAGTATCCGTAGTTTTGAACGCCACTTCATGAGCCTTTCCCGCAGCTCGATAAATAATTTTTTGGTAGGTTTCAATGGAATGCAGAGCAGCCAGTTCAGCGCAAATCAAGGTAGGAATCGTAAAAAAATTTTTATACTGCGGTCGTATGGGTCTGTTAGGCCTAAACATATTATCATCAACAGGCTTCAACAGCGGGAACCAAGGCTTTATGATGGGTCCGCCGCCCGGTAAATCTCACGAAACAGCAACGCGCATGTAACGATCACAGCACTGTTTACATCATTCTGACAAATTCACCCATAGCTGGCATGAACGGCGGACAAGGCATGAACGGCCCACCTCCCGCTGGCATGGGCGGTATGCGGGGCGGGATGATGGGTGGCATGGGTGGGATGATGAACTTCAGTAAAGCCGTGTGCCTAACCAACAATGTTACCATGAATAACACCATGCAGGCCATCGACCAGTTTCTGCAGCAGAATCCTTGTAAGTATCACGCTGTACTTGTACAATGCACTAACGTTATGATGATTTTTAGCACATATTGCGCAAATAGCCATTTCCTTGTTGGAAGTTATTGGTGGCGATTCATGCGCATTGGATGAGTTCCTTTTTCACAGTTTATTGACTTCATTTTTTTTCCAACGGCACGACTTGTATCCCTACCTCTTTTATTCCCAAAATATTAATAATTTATTTCATTTTTCCACTTTTTTTAGTAATTTTTATTTATATGTATTTTGTTAGTGCGTACTGCAAATGATGCGTTATTTACTTGTCTTCTTTAGCAATCGGAATTCGCTGCAAGACCGCCTGCCCCTGCACTCTTCAGTGCCCACCGGACTTCAGCCAATACCCTGGTCCACCTATGATGATGTTCTAAAAAAACTTAATTTATCTGCACAACGCATTTTCGGCACACCCGACAAACTTTTCGCCCGCTGCGCTTAATGCTTAATTGCTTTGCAAAAAATGTACCATTAGATTTACTGCTTTACTTGCTTGGTGCCAGAACCATCGCGGTTATGAACTTATGGCATTTCGGAAGCAGAAAGCAAAATGTGTTGGAAAACAATATACTGCCTCGTTACGGCGATCAGTACGCATGCAAGGTACAAAAACAAATCGTGACCGGAATATGGGCAAATATTGTAAGATTCCAATCTACACAAAGCCGAGTAAGCAGTCGTCTGTACTTATACGTGTGTTGACATTGACTGTCCGCTACAAATATGGCATCCGGTGGCATTGATCATCGGTGGGCAAACAAGCCTTACACTAATCTTCCCTCTGATAAAACTGCTCACAATTTCTATATCAAAATACGAAACACAGTTTTCTGTCTTGCGAATTTCGATTTTCTGAAGAGTTGAAAAAATAGAAAAAAAACACAGAGTAATATGCGTTCCGCTCCGGAATTTGTTTGGATTTTGGCCGGTAAGTTGAATGATAACGCGGTAAAATTTCGAAAAGTTAAGCGGACACGTTAGGTTTTTTTACTAAATCGTTAAGTGCGTTATGGTCGTGCCGTAGGGATTTTAAGCGTTCGCGGACAGATTATTTTACGCGACGAAGGTCAAGGGCAACAGCCTGATAATGGCTTTTCCGGCAATACCGCTGTGGGTGGTGCACAGCAACCGCCAAACTGCAACTGCCAGAATATCGTCAGCCCAGTGTCCGGTTTCGGCCAATCGGGCTTTCCCATGGACAGCGGCAACGATTATTGCAGCAATACCGGCGAAACGCTGACCGATCTATGCGATGTGGCCAATAAATTATTTTCCAGTCAGAGTAAGTACAGCAAGACACTGTTCAGCATTCATTCTGAACACATATTTCATCGTTTGCCGCATTACTGTAGATAGCTCCGCTGTATGAATTTTAAAAGAAGATCATTCATAAGAATTCTAGGGCAACGACAGCACACGAATCATTCTTATCCGAACTGTATTTTGCTATAAATAGACTGTCTGCAGTTGTTTTAATTTTTTAATGCGCTTTCCTGTTTGTTTTTGTGGAATAAATTTTTTTAGCATAAAAAATTTACATGTGCAATAGCGTAGGGAATTTCTTTTCGTGTTGACCAGCATCCTGAGTGCCTTCAAGTAAATTTTGGGTAACGGGTGTTTTATTTACGAAATCTTAGAGCAGAAGCTATCATAAATGCAACAATCATATGGTTATATATGGAATTCGGACAACATAATTCTATTTAGATTTATATCTTAAAAATGACGAAACAAAATGTGAGAGCTGGGGTTTTTTTGCACCTGCAGACATGGGACTGCGACCTTGTAGTTCCAGCAATAATTTCGACCAGACATCCACCGACCAAACCGTCCCTGACTCATCCGCCGAATCAGCAGAAGATCCCCGCCGTCGGAAACGCGCCCCATCCATCACTCGCGTTACGCAAGCCTGTTTATCCAACGGATCAAGCGTATCGGTTGATGTGGCAGAATTAATGCAAACAATTGCGAAGAACACCGGTAAAACTGCTCACAGACGCCACTTAAATATGTTTACCATTCACTTTAACTTGTTTGGATATCAGAACTCGGCGTGCGATGTTTATCGCAATGCCCATGCGAGATCCACTGCCCGATCTCGGCCATCACGGAAACCGGGTACCCGTCCGGTTCCGGCCACACTAGCAACCCGAATAACTACACACCCGAACTATACACACTGCCACCGGATGGCGGAGAGTCGGACGGCAATATGCCGGACCAATCGGAAGCTGGCGATATGAATACCGGCGCTTTCGGGGAAGGAAATGGAAACCAGTTCCAGCCGGGCCAAAACCAGCTTGGTGGGAATGGTCAAGACCCAAACATGTTTCAGTCCGGTTCAAATACCGACCAGTCTAATAGCGGGACGAACTGGCCAAGCGGCAACTCTCAGTATGGGGCAAACTCCAACAACTATGGTGTGCCACAAAATTCGAATTATAACGGACAAAATGGGGGTTATGGACAACAGTATCCTGGCTCGCAGTCCGGCTACCAGAATTATGGAATGCAAGGTGTGCTTATCGACGGTGCTTATATGTTTTTGAGGAATACCTTTTTGTTGCGTGTCAGTGAAGTCGTGTTGCAGAGAAAAACTTGATTACGTAGTCGAAATCTCCGAACTATTCTGACCCGGACCACATAATACAAAAAAATCCCTTTTCAGAAGAATCCCGTCTTCGAGTTGTCCCTGTATAGGTAAAATATCACGTTAATCAGCAAAATTTTACCATTTTCTGACGTTGGTCCTAATTTGTGTAATGGCAACCACAAAGTGCGGTTGCCATTATCGGATTTAGGACAATGCTCGAAGGCAAGCCCGGCGCGCACATTAATCACGTGACAAAACCGTTTCTGTCAGTTCTCCTGAAAACCGTTTTTCTGCGGTATACGTGTCGCGCTCTGTTGCAACCGTACGCATTGTATGAACACAGAATTACCTGGGTGCGCATTAAAGATAAATTCTGGCGGAGAGGGAATTTTTTTCAGCATGGATGTTGAAGTTTTTTTACTACTCGTATTGTTTTGACAGGCATGCCAAATAACCAGAACGGTAATTGGAATTCCGCTCAGCCGGCTTCGCCATACGGCAACACCGGAAACGGAGGAATTTACGGGAATGCAAGGCTGACCGGAAATGCGTACACTAACACCAATAGCTACCAAAGCAGCCAGCAGACATATGCCACGCTGGGCCAGAATTCGTACTGGATGTCGGATGGTCGGCGTACCGGGAATCATGGATTCGGCCGATTTTCCGCGAATAACAATAAATACAACTACTAAGGAAAATTAATATAAAAATTATTTACCAAATCTTGATGTCTTGACTTTTGAGTACGTATTAACTTTTGGGACGGCCGGGCGGGTATTACGAGAAGGGTTTTTAACTTTTTCTGTGTTCCTTCCAGCTAAATTATAAGGAAGTAACAGGTAACTGTTTGGAACGCTACTGCGAAATTATTTCCATTACAGTGTCGAAGAGATTAAAGTGTTTGTCAGGGTTATTGCATCGCACGTGCATCCGCCTACAGAATGCTCGGCCGACGGCATTCGGATAGGGATTACTGCAAAACAGTGAAATTATATTAAGTACTAATGCACACTATAAATTTCTCAGTATCAAGTATGTATTACGATGAGAATATTTGTGCACTCCACGAGCTGCTTGTGAAAATGGCATCCGACGTAGGCGAAATCAATTACAAAGCGCAGAGAAATAATTTCTGGTTTCTGTGTGCCACCCAGCTATTATCTGCATCGAGCCGCTGTGTTGGTGCTGGTTTTCCTTTCTTACCGCATCCTTATGAAGGTCGTTAGGGTGTCTTTCTTAATAAATATAATTTTGAGGAACCAACCCGGTGGAAACGACATTTTTTCGCTAAAATTATGGCAACGCTGTCAGTAACGGACAATTTGGTCAATGATAACGCACTTCTCAATGTCAGTTTAGTCCTGGTCGGCTTCGCCGTTACCAGTTTCGCTTCGTTAGCGTACGTGGGATCGGCTATCTCGTTAGCGGTGGATGAGGCACAACGCCGATACAATCGCACAATGCGTTTAAAGCTACGCCTGCTATACGATCTCTTGCGGCCGACTTGTGGGGATTTAAACGACATTGCTGTTAACTTGGTTTCCGAATGGCATTACCGGAGAAGGAATGCTAGTAATCTAACGATTTACCTTATCCCGGGTGAGGACATTTAGTTAATTTTGCGTTATATTCAGAATACAGAAGAAAGTTACACGAGGAATGTGCTGTGTAGCTTGTGTTGAGAACACCGACTTGCCATATTTCTTCTCCGAGTGGAATACCTTGTGGATATCCACGTAAGTTTCAGTCTTTTTTACGGTAATAATAAATAGGAACGGCCAACTTCTGTGTGTAACCGATGCCCGTCGGGGTGACGAGGCAAAAAGCGTGCCAGCTATCAATTAATCAGCGAACAAAATTAACAACAAATCATAGGATGAGTATGCTGGCGTGCCCGAAAGGAAACTGAACGTCGATTATCGAAATTAAGGTAGAAAAATCATGTATAATGCACGATAATGTAAATGTGCTATGACGTGTTATGAGGCTAACACATCATTAAACTTCCAGCTTGGATGTGTTGCTCCAAACACAAAAAGATTTTGCTGATCTGAGCATTTGCTTAGCATTAAATTACTGTCATCTTAGAAAACTTAATATAATCCTACAACGTAACATGTTTTCGTAACTAAATTACAAAACCACTGACTTTATACGTATGGAACAAATTTTGTTATTGTAATAATTATGATTTTGCTACCTGTAAAATTGTAGATCAATTTAGTTAATACTTGTGCAAAAGTACTCAAATGGTAGTTATGTACAAAATCAGTAAGGCACTGCACAGAAAAGAAAGATTTTGTTCATATCGTTTGCCCGCTGGAACTGACGTCGGCATTTTGTTTAATTCATTTCTTTTCCAATGCCATCTTTCCCTGCCTTATTTGCAGGGTAGCGGCCAGTTCTAGGATTCGTGATCGGCAATCTTATCCAACTTGGCTGGCCACCAATTACCTGCAAACATCTCTCTGCTCTGAACTGGTAACGGATCTTCTGAATCGTTACAACTGGACGACCATCTCCATTGTAGTGGACCAGAACCCCGATGTCCCCTTTTATCCGGTATTAGCGTCGGTGTTTATTAGCGATATGCAACAGCAAAAACACATTGTTGTGGCGGCTATGCGAAACGTTGTAGCCAAGGCCAACAACTGTTCGGCGGCGAAATTCGCGGAAGTTTTGGATGATATAGCGAAAGTCAGTCGAAGTAGGTTCTCCTGTTATCAACTAGCGACCGAGGCAGTACTCAGTAGTATTCAGCCGTTAAAAATTTCTTGCTTGCAGTTGTGGTGTATTATGGATTCATGCCATGTTTACGGGATTTCATGGTATCAAGACGTCCACATTATGCTATGTACAGTCTGTATCTTATGATATTACAGTATGTACCTACTCCTCAATGTTCAGGGTTTGTTTTAGCTCGCCGCGCATTCCAAAAATATGACCAATGGGGAATATGTAAGCGCTGCCTTTTTCGTACATTAATTTATTTGTTTCGCTTTACGCCCTTACCAATTAATGGTGTAGCTTACTTACAGGTGTACATAACAATTCAAAACAACCTTCGTGGCAACATTCACTGGCGTCGCAATGACAACGAAGATGAGGTATAGGTATTTTCCTTTTATTGGTAATGTGCAGTATGCGCATTCTACTTTTCGACATGTGTTGAATCGGTATTTACGTACAGTAACCGAAGCCTAATCCATATCTATATAGGGGGCAAAACTAAACGTGTTCCACGGTTCCCCTGTATTGCTGCCGTCACCCGGCTGGAGTTTTACGTTGTGGCTAAACATGGCGCTTATGTACCGCGCCAGATTTAACCATATGTACTGCCGTAACGTCACACTCCAGGCGGGTGACGGCAGCAATACAGGGGAACCGTGGAACAGCTTAGTTTTGCCCCCTATATAAAGCCGCCTTTCAAGCTTTCCAGTCCGTACTCGTTCTGTATCCCGATACGCACGAGTACGACAGCGCCACGAAAACACGCTTCGACAATGCACTGCGTGAGCGAGCCCAACGGGACTACAATTTTACGTACAGGGAAACAAACGCCGACCTGGTAACAGCATGATTTCTGTGGGCTAATCTTGTGACTTTTCAACGGCAGTACTGTATGTTTAAACAGGCATATACGTTGTTCGTTGGTAGTTATCTGACAGTGACGGCAGTTTCACAGGTAACACGCCAGGCAAATTAATGTTTTCCATCAACGCAAATACCCGGTACCTTGTACTGGTTACTGTATGTCGTTGTTTCGTTACAGGTCGTCAATGAAACCGTCACTGAGCTGACAGACCAGGATCAGCGCAGAGGCGCACAATTGGCTCAAAAGTTGACGAATAGAACATTTTACGACAACAGCTGGGGCCAGTCGATTTATATTGATTTTGTGATGATGTGACATAGCAACGTGTGAACAGCAGCAGCGTAAGCTGCCAGTATGACTGTGAAGAGCGAAGTGAATAAAAGGACTTTATGAGGACGTGACAATCTGGCGTGAGGAATCGAGCTCATTGCCGTTTAGAGAGAAAAGGTGTCTACGAACAGTGTGGTCAAGCCTTTTGGAAGTAGTGCAGCCGTGCCGTCGGGAGGAAGGAAGGAGGACATTGGTGGATTGATGAGGTTTGAGCCAGCCGCGATGACCTGGCGATCCTGGCAGTTTCGATATAAGAACTACGTGGATCTGCACAAGGTCACGGACACGGCCGAGCAGAAAGCGGTACTGTTGGACGCCTTAGGTGTGGAGGCGCTGGAAATCCTTATTTCCATGTGCCTGCCTGGCAGTCCGGACGATTTCACCGGTGGCCAGCTGGCGGATAAGCTGGAGCAAACGTTTGTGAAGAAAACGCTGAAGGAGACGGAGTGGGCGTTATACTTTAGGATTAAGCAGGAACCTGGAGAGACGCTCCTTGAGGTCTCAAACAGATTACGTCGAAAGGCCACGGTGGTGGGGTTTTCGGCGACGGTGTTGGAGCAAAACATGATGGCCGCATTCACCAATGGGCTGGCGAGCGAAAACACCAGACTACACCTGATATCTAATAAATGCCGCACCAAGCTGGAGGAGTGCTTGGAAATTTGCGAGCTGTACGAGCTCGCCCGGGAGACGAAGAAGACACGCCGCGGTGACTATATAACGGAGGCGGATGTTACGGATGCGGAGAGCGCGACCACCGCAAGGCCGAATGTTGGGCAAAAGATCTGCGGTGTGGCAACTGTGGCAGGTATGGCCACATTGCCAGGGCCTGTCGCGCCGACCCGAAGGAGAAAGAGCAACAGAGGGATGGTGCACGGCGCACCAATCTGATAGAAGAAGAGTTTGATGTCATACAGGTCAATGTGGATAGTGATTTTGACTGTATGGTTAAACATCAGCCTAGTCACACCAGGCGAGCGAGCAGCCGCCCTTGGAGATGCAGCAAGGATGGAGATGCGGTTCTGGATACTGTGCTAGGCGAGTTGGCTGCCTTGCACAAGAAGGTGGACGAAATGGCACGACGGAGCACAGAAGCGACTCCACGATACTGGAGACCGGTGGAGCATCGGCGATATCAGCCGGAGCAGAACCGGACCGTGGAGGAAGTTGCGACGATCCAAATGGCAGAAGACCACGAAGTTCGGGAAAGCGTTGTGGCAGTCAGCGACGGCGGAAACACTGACGGGGTCCGTAACGAACAGCCAGAAAATGATTTTCTGCCAATCGGAAGCGTACCCGAGCAGGAAATGGAAACGGCTTCGAGCAGTGGACTGTTTAAGACTCGCAGCCAAATGAAGCGGGAGAAGAAACGGAAAAAGAAGGAAGCATTGAAAGATACCGATGATATTTCAGATTTATGTTCTGATTAATTTGGTGTTAATTCTGGAATTTTATGTTTCACTTATCGTGCATTTTCTTTAGTGTGTTTCACACACTGGGGAAGGTGTGATGATGTGACATAGCAACGTGTGAACAGCAGCAGCGTAAGCTGCCAGTATGACTGTGAAGAGCGAAGTGAATAAAAGGACTTTATGAGGACGTGACAGATTCCAACGGACAGCGGCGCCTGGATTTCGTTGTGGCGTATTTCCTACCTTCTGGTTCTCGTTTGGTACGACTGATACTTCGTAGACTCTTAGAACAACCTCAGCACAGAATGCGTAGAAATATGCTTATGCATTAACAAGGTCATGTACAATTTATTCTACTACGTACATGCGACTGTCCAACCATTCAGGAAGTTTAATGGGTATGCAGCTTTATTAGAACTGACCAGGCGTCAAGGAATTTGCAGTATATCTATGCAAGCTTTGATTTGTGCATTTGGTAAGGTACTGGCCTAACGATAGCAAAATGTGCCTTTTTTGCGCAGCCGCTTCTGCGCAAAATCGGACGGACAGGTGAATTAGTTCAACTGG